GAGCAGCCTCCTTCACTCATTCACTTTTCTGCTTGAGCCACACCTCCAGTCCATTTTGCGCTGGTTATTTTGGAAATGGGGGTCTCACAAGCTACTTGCCCAGGCTGGCCTCGAACCTCAATCCTCCCAATTTTAGTCTCCCAAGTAGCTAGGAATACAGGCGTGAGCTACTGGCACTGGGCTTTAATAGTGAATTTTGAAAATACGCAAAACAGAGTATTATAATGAACACTCACACATCCATCCAGCGCCAAAGATTCCACCTTCATCTGCTTCCCCCTCCCACATGAATTCAAAGCAAATTCAGATGGCATATGACTGCACCTCTCTTTTTGGTGGCACTGGGGTTTGAACTCAAGGCCTGTGCTTACTGGATAAATGCTCTACCACTTGAGCCATACCTGCAATCCCCTTTTTCTTTAGTTTATTGTTCAGACAGGGTCTTGCACTTTTGCCTGTGCCAACCCTCCTACCTTTACCTCCCATGTAGCTGGGATTACAGGCATGAGCCACCAGTGCTGGGCAGGGTTGGGTATTTTTGAGATAGGGTTTCGTTTTGCCCAGGCTGGCTTTGAACTGTTATCCTCCTGATCTCTGCCTTCTGAGTAGCTGGGATTATAGTGTGAGTCACAGAAAGCCTGGCTCCAACCAGTCAGTCTTGTTACCAGTGGTTGGGGTGTTCCAGATGTTCCCCCAGCTCCTGGATGCAATGTCTAAGATTAGGAAACTGATCCAGGAGCAGCAGAAGAACTGAGAAGAGTAAAGAATGATTTATTAGCAAGGCAGAAGTATACCTCATGAGGTGAGGGGGGCAGTTCAGGTTAAGACTGGCTGCACGGAAGCTGTGGAGCTTTGGGGTTTACCCAATAAGCTGGGTGGCTGAAAACCAAGGATCCTCCCCTGTGACTGTCCCCAAATAGTTTGCCCCTGCATAGCGGCTGCCCAAGTGTGGGAAGGCACACACCTATGCATCTGATTCTCTTTGCCTTTTACAGTTTAATCTTGATGTGGGGAGTGGGTTTTATAAAGATATACGACCACTGTCTAAATCATTGGTCACCTGAGGGTTTCAAAATGGACCTGGCAGCCCAGGGCACTTCCTTTTTCCTGCTCATTCCTACCTAGCTGTATAGATAACATTCTGGCTCTACTACTGGAGCCCCTCCGCCAGCCCATCAGCAATTATGTTTTGAATAAGGTCTCAAGGTTGTGCCAGGGACGGCCTCAGCTGTGCTTCTCCTATTTATATCTCCTGAATAGTTGGGATGACAGGTACACGCCACCATGCCCACAACCAACTGGTGTTTGTCCTTAAATGCAAAATTGGCCAGGCACTAGTGGTTCACGCCTGTAATCCTAGCTACTCAGGAGGCAGAGATCAGGAGGATCTCAGTTTGAAGCCAGCCCAGGCAAGTAGTTCATGAGACGCCGTCTTGAAAAAACCCATCACAAAAAAGGGCTGGTGGAGTGGCTCAAGATGTAGGCCCTGAGTTCAAATCCCAGTACCGCACAAAAAGAAAGATAGGAAGGAAGAAAGGAAGGAAAGAAGGAAAGAAGGAAGGAGAAAGAAGGAAGGAAGAAAGAAGAAAGAAGGAAGAAAAGAAAAAGAAAGAAAGAAAGGGAGGGAGGGAGGAGGAAGGGTGGATGCTGGTGCCTCATGTCTGTAATTGTAGCTACTCAGGAGGCTGAGATGGGGAGGATTTCGGTTTGAGATCAGCCCAAGTAAATAGTTCATGAGACCCTATCTCCAAAATAATGCGAGCAAAACAGACTGGAGGTGTGACTCAAGCATTAGAGCGCCTGCTTTGCAAGAGCAAAGCCCTGAGTTCAAACCCCAGTATCACCAAAAAAAAAAAAAGATGAATTTGAGGAGAGCTGTCATCTTGACAAGTTTTCCAAATTATGCACATGCTAGACCTCACCATTTATTTGGGTTTTGTTTAATTTCCCTTTGCAGTATCTTACGATTTTCAAAGTGCAAGTCTCACAAATTTTTTTATTCTAATTGTATTTTATTTTATTTATTTATTTACTTATTTTGGGACTGGGGCTTTTAAAGCAGGCACTCTGCTGCTTGAACCACACCTCCAGACCATTTCACTCTGGCTACTTTGGAGATGGGGGTCTTGTAAACTGTGTCCTAGGCTGGCCTCAGACTGCAGTCTTTAATATCTCAGCCTCCCAAGTAGCGCGGATTACAGGCACCAGCCTTTCATTTTATTTTTGTGCTCTTAAATGGAGTTTTGAACTTAATTTTCAAGTTGCTCCTGCTGGTGCGTTTGGTGTAAATGGCCTGGTGTGCTGCAAGACTGCGGAATGCTCTGACCCCTTCTAGAAACTACGTTGTGGGCTCCTTCATCTTCGCTTCAGACATGTCACACCATCTGCAAATAAGGACAGTTTTATTTCTTCCTTCCAGATCCTTATTCATTCTGTTTATTTTTCTTAGCTAACTGCAGTGACCGAGAGTCCCAGTAACAAGTAAAGAAGTGATGAGATGGCCAATTTATTTCCGGCCTTCAGTGGGAAGCATTGAACCCTTTACCTTGAATTTGATGCTAACGGCAGAATGTTGGTTAAGGAAATTCCCTCCTGTTCCCAGCTTGCTTAGCGTGTTGTCACTGTTGACGTTGTTTTATGATCACTGCTGAATTTCGTCAGACACTTGTTCAGTATGCTTTGAAATGAGCTCTGTATTCTGTTAATATGATGAATTATGTTTATTGATTGTTAAATGTTAAACCAATTTTGCTTTTTTTTTTTTTTTTTTTTTGCAGTACTGGGGTTTGAACTCAGGGCCTACACCTTGAGCCACTCCACCAAGATAGGGTCTTGAGAACTATTTGCCTGGGCTGGCTTTGAACCGCAGTCCTCCTGATCTCTGCCTCCTGAGTAGCTAGGAAGTGGTGTGAGTCACTGGTGCCTGGCTACACTTATACCTTACAATATAAAGTATACGTTCATTTACTATAAACTATGAAGAAGTATTGGGGCTGGGCGGGTAGGTCAATGGTTAGCGTGAGTGTGGCACACAGAGGCCCTGCACTCAACCCCCAACACCCCTCAAAAAGTAAACTTATTCTGCCAAAATATTATGGGCATAAAAAGAACTTAACTGAGGGCTGGTGGAGCGGCTCAAGTGGTAGGGTGCCTGCCTAGCAAGTGTTAGGCCCTGAGTTCAACTCCCAGTAACACCAGCAAAACATAAAGAAACATCTCCAGTGTAAGCAGTGTTTGTAACTGGGTGGTGACTTGATGGGTAAGTTGTTTCTAGGTGTCTGGCTTTGCTTTTTGAAGTAAGATGATGCTTATCATCACAGCTAAAGTATAAACAAATAAGATCTTGGGTGTCAGCCAGGCCTGGGCATGGTCTTTGGCTCAGAGTGGCCTTGGCAATTCAGGGTCTCTGCACAGTGCTTATCCTAGTGTTGTTTTGAAGGTTCACTGAGGTAATGTGAAGAAATGGGTGCAAGAAAGGGCACAGAGTTCTGGAGTCAGTCCCTATCACCATGTGCATTTCTAATCAGAGAAAAGGAAGTTTTCTGTTTTGGCTTGGGTAGTGGGAATTAATCCTGGGGCCTTCAGTGCTGGGCAAGTGCACTGCCACTGGAGCCATGCAGGCCCCTCGCCCTTTGTTGTCGTTTGTTTGGAGATGGGGTCTTGCTAACTTTGCCTGGGCTGGTCTGAACTTCTCTGCTTCTGCCTCCAATGTAACTGGGATTACAGCTGTGAGCCACCATGCCCAGCTGGAGAAAAAAGAAGTGTTAAAGACAAATCTTTTGAAAGAAACCCTAATTGACAAAGGCAGCAAAGAGGACGGCCAGGAGATCAGGTTCCAAGTCCAGGACCAGGTAGGACCCTGGGCACCCAGTGCCCAAGTCTTCCCAGTGAAGATGCCTGTTTGCAGGAAACAGAAACTCCCCACAAGCTGGAGTCCTCAATTCAGCATGAAAACCAGGGTGTTTCAGGCAATCCAGGACAAGCAATGCCACCAGTGTTCATGGTGTGGCAGGATAGGACTACACACTCTAAACCCAGGACCCATTCCCCTTCGCCTTCCACTTCCCCTTTCTCCCTCTGCTTCTCCAGTCTTCCCAGGACACCTAAATTGACTTGTCTTTCCTCCTGGCCAAGCGCTGAGACCCAATCCCCATGGGTGAGGTTCTGATTGGTCTAGCTCAGGTCAGGTGTCCAGTCACTGTCCAATCAGATATTAAGGGATGGAGCCACAGTATTCACATGGTTGCCTTGGGCCCTGGTTTGTAAACCAGCTATATAGAGGATCACTAGTCAGGGTTCCACAAAGCGCCATTAAATCCTGTGGTTTTTCTCTCCTGTGCCCAGGCTTCTCTCTCTTAAAAATTATTATTAGTATTTTTGTGGGACTGGGGTTTGAACTCAGGGTCTTACACTTGCTAGGCAGGTGCTCTCCCATTTGAGCCACTCCACCAGCCCTTTTTTGTGATGGGTATTTTCAAGTTAGAGTCTCTCCAACTATTTTCCCTGGCTAGCTTAAAACCTTGGTCCTCCTGATCTCTGTCTCCTGAGTAGCTAGGATTACAGGGGTGAGTCACTGGTGCCTAGCCAGGCTTTTCTTATTGGAGGTTCTTCCTCCTCCACAGTTTAGCCTGCTTTAGGCTACTCTTAAGCCAGCTCAGCTATGGTGGGGAAGTGTGGATATATTTTTGGTCATGGCCACCATATCCAGGAGTTCCCTGTGGGCTATGGGGAGGAGATGGTCCCCAGGGAAATGGCTATGGCCCAGCATGCTCCCACACCTGTTACCTAAACTCTCTTTGGCCTCCCTGGCACATGCTACTGTTGGGTGACAGAATCCCAGGCTGCCCCAAGCGGACACTTCTGGATTTCTAGTTTCTGTTGAGGATAAATAGGTTCTTTGGCAAATGGTGGCCTTCGGCAGCTATTAGAAACCACAGAGGTTGAGCTAAGGAAAGCATTATGTCACATGCACACACCTCTGTAGAAATAAAGAAACAAAAGACTAATGTGTCTTCTTTTAATTGCTATTTTACAGCTTCCCTCTGAAGCTGCCCCCACCCTTCCTTGATGACCACTTTTGCAGGCTAAGGGGACCAGGGAACAAAGCTGGGGCCCAGCAGCCCCACTATGCTGCCTGGCAGGGAGAACAAGTCACAATTACAAATTATCACAACAATTAGTGCCTGTACTTGGGAGATGTGCAGGGAGAGGAGGCCCCAGCTCCTCATTGTCAGCGACTCTATTTGCCAGTGACCTTGCTCTGGAGGCGATGATATTCCTTCAGTCTGTAAACCAGATTGAAAACAAAGAAAAATTTAAATTAACAATAAAAACATGCATTCAGTTCCATTCATTCAGACAGGACTGGGGTGGGGGTGGGGGCAGCTGTTTGTTAAGATGTGTGTGAAGTTGTCTTTTTCTTCTGTCCCCTTTTCCCATCCTGGCCTCTCCTGCCCTGCAATCAGGATAATATAATTAATTTATCTGAGGGGAAAACATTGTTTGTCATTGTTGGAGACAAAGCATTTAACTGGCAATGGGAGAAATGAAGAGGCCATTATGAAACCCCAGTGTGTTCTGGGTCATTTAAAAGGGTTTATAGAGTCATAAAATACAAAGGGGTGCACAGGAGGCGGGGAGGAAGAGGTGACTGTGGGGAGAGGGAGGGCCTAGGGAGGTCAGGCTGGAGTCAGTGTCTCTCCTGGCCTGGGGTAGTTCTAGGGACAAGGGGCTGGCTTTGGGCCAAGGGCAGGTTGCTTGAGCAAGAAGAGAGACTATAACCTTCTTCCTGATCCCAGCCCCAGGAGAAGGAAGTTGGTAATGGAGAATCCAGAGCTGTACAGACAAGTCTTCCCAACTCAGCTCCACGATTTCCTAGCTATGTGACCCTGGGCCAGCTTCCAGGGAAGTGCAAATTTGTGTTAAGAATTAAGTTTGTCACTTAATCCTAGGAGAGAACCTGGGAGTGGCTTGGCCCATGGCAGCTGCTGTGATGAGTGTAGGGTGCTTGACCTTGAGCTGCTGGGCACTGCTATGGGCCAGTGCCTGGCCCATGTGCTCAGTTCCCACAGGCTCCTATGGAGTCTTCAGTGCGAGGCAGGTGCAGGTCACACTCTCCCTTGTGACTCTCAGAACTTGGGAAGGGATCTAGCACTCTACTGGAGAGCCAGGATTTGAACCCAAGTCTGAGTGACTTCCGACATTGTGCATCACTCCTTGGCTATGGAAAAGCAGATGACTAGGCAGCTGGCTTAGTTTTCTTTGCACCTCTAGGCCATATCCTCGGGGCCTATCAGAGAGCTCCTCACCTGAGGGAGTTGATGTTGATGAAGCCTGTGGCATCAATAGGTTCATAGTCGCCCTGCACGTTCATGCTGCAAAGAGACAGCAGACCTGTCAGTGACCCCTGGCTGCCTTTCCTAGGTGGAGCAAGCCTTCCCCAGTATGTCACCTTGTCATTCCATTTCTGTCCAGTTCCGGGAGCTGTCTTCTGTGCCAGGCCCCATGCCGGTGGCTGAGGACCCCAGCAGTGCCCAGTAGCCTCTTCTCTGTGTGTAATAAAGTGGCCGGCTAACAGCTGCCACTAGCTTGGGTCCTGGCTTGGTCAGCACTGGCCCCAGGAAATCCTTCTACAAACCACAGACCTCTGTGTGTTAACAAAGGACACACATCTGAACCAGCCCTGCTTTGGGGCCATGACGGGCTAAGAGGGGAGGATCCAGAAATGGCCAATGAAGGTCCAGAAGGGGTACAAATCCAAATAGACTGATGGCCTCTCTCAGGCTGCAGGGAGGCTGCTGGTATTTGCAGCATGTCCCACCAGCTTGCCTTTCCCCTAGTCAGACCCTGTGGAGTCCATCCTGAGACCTAGGCACCCCCACCTGAACTGTACCAGGTCACCTGCTGGACTTGGTGGTTCCCATCCTGCAGACCAACAGCCTTCATCTTTCAGCTCTTCTCCCCAGCACCCCCCGCCCAGCCACAGCAGCCAGTCACGTTTGGTGAGTGGATTTGCACGCCACCACATAGCCTGGGACAAGCGTGCAGCTCCCGGAGCTGTGGTCTGTGCCTGGTGAATGCCCCTGAAGGTGACTGCTCCCAGTATGATGGCAGCTGGCTCATGGAAGTAAGCCCTCAGTAGCACTGGCACGTCCATTCGTTCACTCACTCACTTTATTAAGTATGTACTACCTGCCAGGCCAGCTGTGCCAGGTGCAGAGGAAGCAAGAGCAAGACACAGACACGGCAACCCATCATCCATTGCTCCTCATTGAGTACAGCGCTCAGGGCCCTACCCACTAGGGCTACGAGAACCAGGAGGTCCCTTGTCATGTCCTACTCTTAATCAGCCCCAGACCAGTTTCAGGACAAAGCAACCTCAAGTTCTCAATGACAAGGAGGTGGCCTGTGCTCTCAGGAGGGAGGGAAAAGAATACTGGGTGCGACTTTGCAACTGTGCCTCTGACTGGTTCTGTGTGGACTCTGGGAGTCTCTGTGTCTGACCTGACTGGCCTGGTGGTTTGTCCAGTCTGCCCTCCCACCGCAGAACCCTGGTCCTGACCTTCATCAGGCCTTGGAAGCTGGCACAGGGTACTCTCCACAGGAGAGACTTAGTCTCTCTCCCTCCCTCCCTTCCCTCTGGTACCCTCAGGACTTAGGTGCTGAAGCTACAAGAGTTGACTGTTGGCATGGTCCCACAGGGAGAAGATTCCAGTTTGCTTGTTGCACCATTTTTTTTTTTTTTGGGTGGCACCGGGGTTTGAACTCAGGGCCTCATGCTCGCTAGGCAGGCGCTCTACCATTTGAGCTATTGTTGCAGCCCATTTTTGTGTTGGGTATTTTTGAGATAGGTCTCTGGAACTATTTGTCTGGGACTGACTTTGAACCTCAATCTCCTGATCTCTGCCTCCTGAGTAGCTAGGATTATAGGCGTGAGGCACTGGTGCCTAGCTTCCAGCTTGCTCGGAAGCCTCTCCTTGTACAAGTAGGTGCTGAGAAAAATAGGCCACACTAGGCCACCAACCTCTTTAATTCCCTTCAACACACCTTGCTCGGGGAGTGGGGTGGGGGTGCACAAAGCTTAACATAAACCTCCCCCCTAACTGTCCAGCAGGCTTCAGAAAGCTAGCCTCAGCCCGTCTGTACCTCCCACCCTTTGCAAGGGCCCTGTACCAGCCCAGGGAGAAGGCAGGGGGCTGAGCCCCTTCTCTCGCCTGGTCCATAGCACCCATCTGTCCTTTTGCCTCCATCCCTCAGAAGTCAAAACAACTCCCCTGTCCCTGTCCCCAGAACCAGCCTGTCAGCTGACCCTAGAAGCCCCTGCCAAGAGACAGTCCCATGAGTTCCGTGAGGTGTCCCTCAGGGACGAAAGCCCTTTTTTTTAAATCGTGGTTTGGGGTGGGATGGGGGGAGGTGGAAAAGGAGTTTACAATGATTTTTTTTTTCTTACCTCCCCTGACGGTCTACAGAAAACCTCTGTGCTTTTATTTTTGCTCATTCGAGTGGCTCTGACCCTGCTCTATAATTACGTTACTTTCTACCCACTGTGCCGCGGCATTTCCAGTTCTGCTACCTCTCGCGGCTTCCTCGTTGGTCCCTGTGACGCTGTCACTCAAGGGCTTTCAAGTCAGCGATGTAGAAATCAAAAAGAAAAGGGAAATGGTCGGAGACACAGTGAGAATAAATGCTTCTGCTTTTCTCTCTTTTTTCCCCTTTCCCTTTTTACTTTATTCATTTAATCTCCCTGAGTGAGACTGTAAGGCTTAATGAAGGGTTGGACAGGTTACTAGAGACTGTTGATTTGGAGGGGGAGGGAAGAAAGAGCAAGAGAGAGAAAGAGAGAAGATAATTTGACATTTACCCCGACTGATCTAAACTGATTCGGTTATATTTATGGCTTATAAAGTGTTTAGAAAGATTGGGGGGGGGGGAGGAGAAACTCAACATGGCAAAGAGAAGGGAAAGAAGAAAATAATATTGACTGCCAAACAAAACTCGTACTTTAATTCCCACCTGGCCTCTGGGAGGGGAGAGCCAGCCTCAGCCTGAGCTAGCTGGGGCTGGGTTCACGTCTGGTGGGGCTGCCTATCCCTAGGGGTCTGCCCTTACCCCCAGTGTGGCCAGGTGACCTCCAGAGGAGACATCGGAACCGCTGTCCATCACAAAGCAGACTCAAGGTGGATCAACTGCTCACGCGGGGCGGGCCCGCCAAACTCCCTACCTGTCCTGCGTTCCCTCCTCAGTCACCCTCTGCCTGGCCTCTTTGAGGAGCTCCACAAGGCTCACCTTTGTTCCCAGTATGTCTCATTGTCCTCTGGGTTCTCCTTAGAGAACGACATGACCCTTTAATGTCTTTTTTGTGGGGCATTATTGGAGTTTGAACTCACGGCTTTGCACTTGCTAGGCAGGCACTCTACTGCTTGAGCTAATACCTCCAGCCCCCTCCAGTGTCTTCAAACCAGGTTTCTCCTTAACTCTGGACCCACATGCCCAATGGCTGGCCAGATGGCTCGCCCAGGCTATCTCAAAGAAGATCCATGATCGAGATACCCTAAACCCAAATGTGTGGTCTTTACTCAAGAACATTCCCTCTGAGCTGGGGTGCAGCTATGCTAGAGCCCTTCCTGACATGGTGAGGAACTGGGTTTGATCTCCTAGCCTCAGTGACTGCTATCAAGTACCCAGCTATTCACACCCCTCCACCTCCTGCCACCTCTAAGCCCTTTCAGCATACTTCCTAAAGATCTGTTAAATCCATCTACTTCTCTCTTGTCCCAGAGCCACCCTGGTCCACCCTTGCCAGCATCCAACCACACAAATCTATTCACCAGAGCAGCCAGAAGGACCTTCACAGAACACAAATCTGATCTCACCCTTCCTTTAAGATCTGGCCTCAGCCCCTCACCTTGGCTCCTTGGTTTCCTCTGCCCCACGTTTGTAGCACCTGGGTCTTCTGGGCTCTTTCCAGGCTCAGAACCCCTGCACCCAAGGTGCTGCCCCAGGACCCCCACCCCCACCAGGCTAACTCCTTCTGCTGTAGTTTAAATGGCAAGAAAGTCATACCAGGTGGCCTCCCAATCCCTAACTATTAAGCCCAGACAGAGTGTCCCATTCTGCCTCCCAGCCCACTGCTACCTTTTCTAATTCTGCAACCCAGCTATGGTTTGACTGGTGCTTTTCTCCCCAGCAGGCCCATACAGTCCATGAGGGCACAGATGGCCCTTTGTGATCTCCCTGTGCTCAGCACACATCTGAAGTGTTCAGCACAGAGGTGTTGAGAAAGCCGGTCAGAGGAGACACTGGACAGGACCGAGCCCCGCTGGGGTCAGGACGAGGTAGGGGGCACCTACCTCACCAGCTCCTCGTTGTAGAGAGACAGTGGGGACTCCCGCCCAAGGATGTACACCTGGCCCTTGAAGACAGACACCTGCACCTTCCCTTCCACCCGCTCCTGGGACTTGGCGATGCAGTGGCGAACAAATTCACATTCAGGGCTGTGCCAGAAACCTGCGGGGAGGAAACCAAGAGGATGCTGGGGGAAGACCACTGCCGCCTGCCTCAGGCCAGGGCACGGGGACACTGGGGTGCAGGAAGGGCACCCCAGGCGTTACCCCATGATGGTCTGGAGCTTTGGCACCATGTGTCTTGGTAAACGATATGGCTGGGGAACACACCTTCACACCTGTCCTAGAACCTTGCACAGGGTGGAGGTGGTGGGGGGGTGACCTCATCCTTTTAGGGAGACACTGCCTAGAGGTCAGGAGGAGGAGAGTGGCTCATGTCACAGACACTCAAGGAGTGCCACAGTGGTCACAGAGGGACCACTGGTGTGGTAAGGCCGATGTTGTTAGAGAAGGCAAGAGACCCCAAGCAGAGCTCAGAGGCACCGGTATCGGGACTGAGCAATGGGGATGCCAGGACTGCAGCTGGGTGTATTGGTTCTGGGTCAGACAGACCATGGGTATGTGTGGCCTTGACTTCTCTGTGCCTGTTTCCCTACCTCTGAGTAGAAATGACACAGCAGTACTGAATGTGGAGTTCCTGTATAGAGCAAGAGCTCCTGGGAACCAGATGAGGAAAGGGCCACCCCTCGGCCCAGGGAAATCACTGAACTGTTCTCTGCATGGTGCTAGTATTTTCAAATGCACAGCAAATATTTTTACATGTCTAAGGAGAGGTCCTGTGCTAAGCTCCTCTCCTGCACCAGCATCAACAACCCTAGGGAAAACGTCCAGGTGAGGGACTGTTGCTCTGACTGGAAGCAGGGCCTGACCTGGTGAGGCTGGAACACGCTTTGGGTTACAGATGGGCAGGGATATGCTGCCCGTCTTCTCCCCTCCTCTCTCCCATTAAAGCTGGGGAGGATGGGTGCTCCATCCAGATTGTCTTGGGACAGTCACTGCCTCCTCTCTGGTCTCTGCTGCGGGAGCTAGGACCAAGGGGCAGGCAGGTGGCCACAGCCAGGCTGGGGGAGGTACAGTGTCAGCCAGGTGGTAGGGTTTCTCTGAAACAGAGCTGGGAAGGTGAGCCCACCTGGGCAGCTGCAGGGCCAGATGGAGCATGATCTCCTGCCCTGATAAATGGCTGGGTCAGCCCCTGGCGGCGGCTATTGTTGAAGGCCCAAGCCTGGGGGCCTGGGGGGAATCTCCTGCTGAGGCTCTCCATGGGAAAGGGACAGGTGGCCTCTGAAATGGGGTCCTTGGCTTGCAGAAGTGGGGGAGGGCCAAGCAGGGAGAGAAGAGGTGGGTCCTTGCTCTCTAGTATCCTGCCATTTGAGTTCACATTGCAGCCCCACCCTGACATGTGATATAACCTCCCTGTGACTCAGTTTCCTCATTTGCATGATGAGATATCATTACGACCTCTCTGCTGGGAAGTGTCAGGTCTATGAGAATACAGCACAGAGCTCTGGACATTTGCTTTGCTGTTTGAACACCATGACCTCTGCCAGCCCTCACTGTATGCAGGGAGACAAAGGCCCAGAGAGGGCAAGAGAGTGTCCAAAGCCACACAGTAAGACCAGGAAGGAGCCCAGGTCTGAGGGAGTACTCCACCACAGTACCCCATTCCTGGCATTTTTTCCAGCAAGCCACTGGACCCTTGTGAGAAGGGACACTGATGCCCCCCCATAGCCACCATGTCCTGGGCTTGGCTGTCTTTCTCAGGTGGGATAATTAGCCCATTAAGTTCCAAGGCTGAAAGGCAGGTGGAGATGGAGCTAGTGATAGGGAGGGCAGAGATCATCCTGGGAGCCATTGGCCTGGGCTTTATCTCCAATCTCCTGCCTCTACTCCACAGAGGTCTTGGGCTCAGGTTTCTTTTCCCAGTGGACCCAGTCTAGGATGAGGACATTGAGCCTGGTCCCAGATGCCTGGTTGGGGGGGTGGGGAAGGAGACTCTGCCTGTCCCAGGACTGTGATGCACTGTAGGTGAGGGCTCGGGCTGAGCTGCAGAGGGATCCCCTCCCCCTTTGGGCTAGGCCCAACCAAGCTCTCCACACACGATCTTTTGTAATTGGGACAGCTCTGTGCACACTATGCATGATGCTCGTGTTACTGCTGAAGAAAGTGAGTCAAAGGGAGAGGAGGGGAGCTATGTCCCCTAAATGAGAACCTCCATCGGGCTCCTCAAGGGTCCTAAAGCTGGGGTCCTGCCAGGCTGACCCTGGATGCTGCTCCTAGAGGCAAGGGGTCTGCTTAAGCCCCATAAAACCAGGCCAGGAAGTCTGGGAACAGGGGAAGAGAGAAAGAAGGCAGCCAGACTCAGGCACACAGAGGCAGGGATCCAGGGCATCTAGGAGCTGGGCTGGGGCAGGTGGAGGGCTTCCCTGTGTTTCAATCATCCCATCTGTACCCTGAGGTCCCAGGCTGTGGGGACTCCAAGCAAGTCAAGTGCTACAGCAGAGTGGTGGGTTTTGGACTGGAGGAGTTAGCTATGATGGGGAAGAGAGCCGGCATGTCCCTGGCCTGGAGTCCTTCAATTTACAGGAGGAGAAACTGAGGCTCAGGGAGGGAACAAACTTGCCCACAACCATAACCTAGCCAGAGGCAAGGTGCTAGTCTTCTGCCTCCACTCAGAAACCGTGCCAGGCCTTTTGCTATTTAGTGCCACTGGAACATCATGCTCCATGTCACCATTCCAGACATGTGACAAATATTCAGACACTGCGCTCTCATCAGAAGCATGGTGGGTAGAATTATCATGTCCATTCTTCAGATGAGAAAGCCAAGGCCCACAGAGTGTGAGAACATGCTCGAGCCAAGCCAACTGTGGATCTGCAGCACGTCGTATCTCTCATGTGAGAATTCACCTCAAGTGCCCTCTGGGCTGTTGGGGGACAGGCTGCTGGAGGCTGCCCTTGATGTCTGTGGGGGCTCGGACATCATAGGGACTGGACAAAGTTAATATTAGCAATAACTACCTGGAATAAGCCTCGTCCCCCCTCTGAGGTTTTGTTTGCTTTTAAATCTTCTAATCACTACGCCTCATTTTAGGATTTAGAGGGCTCGGCACTGGCTGACAGAGCAGGGACTCAACCCAGGCAATGTTCTGCAGAGGCGCCATGCCTGCTAAGCTGTGCCCAGGTACCTAGGGCTCCCCTGTCTGGGCCACGGCACCTCTGCTCCCCTGGGAACTGGTAGGCCTCTGCAGCTGGCCTGTCCTGGACTCCAAGTTGCTGCAGCTCATCAGCCTTAACACCTTGAACAAGTATCTTTGCCTGCCCGGGCCTCAGTTTCCCTGCCTCTGTGAAGCTAAGATTAAATAACACCTACTAAGTGCCCAGCCCAGGGCCTGGTAGCAAGAGAGCAGGGGAAATGGCAGTGGTTGTCACTGTAGGACAAGAAGACCATCTGCCTATCCCCTCCTGGCCCCCACGGACACCTCCAGAACACCCAGCCCAGGTGCTGTCTCCTGCACCATACCCTGTCATGTCTTAATGATGGTCTTACTTTGTAAACAAAATCCACCTCAGTGGTGAAATCCTGCCGAGCTCCAGAGCTGGCAGGAAACAATGGTATTTAAACACCTGTCTGTACCTAGCAAAAGGTGGGGAGACTAAGTTTAAAAGCTGTTGGGAACAATGGCAGTGAGAAGTGATGCCAACCAAGAGCCAGCAAAACCTCCTGAGACCCTGGGATGAGTTACAGTGAATCTGGGAGGGGAGGGAGAGAGGGCTCAGCCCAGGCAACCCTGACCTCCTGTCCAGAGATGTCAGGTCAGCCAGAAGCAGTAGCCTGACCCCCAATAGCTCAGAGGACCTGTTGTGATTCCCCAAATTGGGGACATGTGAATGTTATAGATTGGGGGGTCAGAAAATGTCTTCTGTAAATGGCCAATTGTCAATGCTCCTATGCTTTCTCTCAAAACTACCCAAGTCCAGCCAGGCGCCGGTGGCTCACACATGTAATCCTAGTTACTCGGGAGGCAGAGATCAGGAGGATCATGGTTGTAAGCCAGCCTGGGAAAAATTGCTCTTGAGACCCTATCTCGAAAAAACCCATCACAGAAAAGGGCTGGAGGAGTGGCTCAAGGTGTAGGCCCTGAGTTCAAACCCCAGAACTCCAAATAAAAACAAACTACTTAACTCTGTCGCTGCAGCTGGACAGCATTTGTGGGCAGACATGAATGCACGTGGCCATGTCCCACTGGAACTATGTATGGACACTGAAATTGGAGTTTCATGTAATTTTCACATCACGAAAGCTCCCTGCCCCTCTCCCCATTTAAAAATGTAAAAACTATTCTTAGCTCAAGGGCAGGACAAAAACAGATGGCAGGCTAGATTTGGCCCTGGAAAACCTTGGTAGACACTGTGAGGGTCAGATTTGGAATCAGGAGGCTTGGGTCCCAACTTGGTGACAATGGGTGGGTATGAAACTCGGTCTGTGTGTCTGGAAGGTGGGACCACTCATGCTGGATGCTAATTCATCCACCAATTGTTCTGCAAGTGGGCTGGCCTCATGCCACACCAGGGGTTTCATGATCAAAATCTGGCTCCTGCCATGCTTAGGTCTGTGGCTGAGTTCTGGGTCAAAGAGTCTTTCCTGTGGGCGATAGTCAGGGGCAAACAATCTGACTAGGAACCAAACCCAGCTGGGCCCCTTTGGCTGTGTCCATGGGAACAAGGTCAGAGCCTGCACTTTCCTCCTAGAAGACTATGGGGAGCCACAAGTCCCACCCAGTGTCAGCTGCTTTCGTGGCTTTGCCACATGAAAGCCACAGGTGGAGGGTCAGCATCACTCTAACACCAGTGAAGGGTGTCATCATGGCATCGCCTCCTCCCTCCGTCATCCCTGCTTCACCTTGATCACTTTCCGCCTGCACCTCTGGGGTCTCAGAGAAGCTGGCAGTGGGTGGGGCGGAAGGAGATGGCAGTCGATGGGGGGAAGGCCTGAGGTGCTGGCGGGGGGGACGTTGGAGGGGGCGCTGGGACAGCTGTGAGTCATACGCACCGGTGTACACCAGCTCTGCGAATTTCAGACCCAGGCCCTGCTTGATCTTGCGCACTTCCCGATCCATGGTGAAGGCCTCGATGTCTAAATGAGCATGGTAAAGGATAGTCCCTGCTGGGGTCTCGTAGATACCTAGCCATTTTTCCAGGCAGGGGGAAAAGAAGAAAAAAGGAGAAACGCATGAAACCCAAACTGTCAGCAAATGACAAAAAAAAAAAAAAAAAAAATAATGACTCGTCTGACAGGAGACAAGCCAGTCGGACCCATTCACTCCCAGCTTGCTGCAAAATGCATCTGTCATTACGTTCATGCTGGGGCCACGACAGTCCACTCGGCAGCTTGTGGAGAAAATGTCTAGATGCCCCCCTTTGAAGAGGCCCTCAGACGTGGGAAAATGACAGGGTTTCGGAGCAGTAACCCCCCCAATGTGTGCCCACCGGCCCGAGGCTGAAAACCTGTAATTAAACCGACTGTGGTAAAGCCCCGGGCCCCAAATATCCCTTCCTCCCTCCCACTAGGGAGCCAGGGAAAGGGGGATGGCTGTGTGCGCACATGCACATATGTGTACATGTGCGAACACGCGTGCTGACTGCAGCCAGGGGCTCCCTGGCAGCCATGTCTCTCCTGAGCCATGATCCCACTGTACAGATGGGGAAGCTGAGCCCTGAAAAAGGGACTCACCAGAGGCAGAGCTGGGAATGGAATCTAGGCCCCCTAAGTCTCTAGCCAGCACTGGTCACCGACCCACAGAAGCCCAAAACCAGGTCGGGGGGAGGGCCTTGCTCAAGTCCCCTCTGTTACTTCACTCAGTTCTTCCGTTTGCAAGACAACCTGTTTAGACCAGATGGTCTCTGAGGTGACATGAGGGGCCTGACCATGAGTTGAGCTGGGTTCCAAAGGTCCCCTTAGCTGTACTAAGTGATGTTTGAGGACTCAGAAGCACCAAGAGGCAGAACTGTCCACACTTGCAGGACCCAGACCCCTCTTGGTCTGGGAGTGTGGGCTCTGCCTTGGACAAACCTGCCTTGTGTCCACTGTCCTGATGGAGAACGGGCATAGCTACCACACCCACAAATACTACCCCAAAAACTTCCCTTCTCCCCACCATGTAATGTTAGGGCATTATAGAGGCAACTTCTCAGTCTCCAAAAACTTATTACCACTACCATCTTTCCACAGTGGCTGCTTAAAAAAACCACCCACGCTCACAGCAGCCCAGAAGCCCAAGGTGGAAGCACCCAGCTGTCTACTGTGGGAGGAACAGAAAGACAAATGGCCCAGGCACACAGGGCTATATTATTCAGTCTTAAAAAAGGAAGGACATCCTGCCAAGTGAAGAAAGCCAGTCACAGAAGGACGAATACTGTCGGGTTCCTCTCATGAGGTCAGAAAGGCAGGTAAATCCAGAAACAAAAAGTAGAATGGGGACTGCCCGGGGCTGGGGAGTGAGTGCTTAATGGGAAGATGGAAAAATCTGTGGCTGGATGGCAGTGGTGGCCGTGTAACCATGTCATTCTGATTAATGCCACCAAGCTGCACACTCACAAATAGTTAGAATGAGACATTTTATACTGAGGCTATTTCACAACCAAACCAGAACATGGGGAAGGCTGTCTGATGAGCTCTTCCTGCCCCAGAAGGTTCATCCTCTGAGAACTCCTCCAGGCTTTGAATTTATTTATTCACTTTTTAAGAGAGGATTTCTTTCTTTCTTTCTTTTTTGGCAATAATGGGGTTTGAACTCAGGGCCTCACACTTGCTAAGGGAGGCACTCTACCATTTGAACCACTCCACCAGCCCTTTACCGTGTTGGGTATTTGCGTGTCACAAACTATTTGCCTGGACTGGATAGCTAGGATTCCAGAGGTCCTTGGACAGACAGGATCTCATTATGTGACCCGGGCTGGCCTTGAACTAGCCTGCATCAGCTTCCTGAGGCTTGCATTGCAGGCGTGCACCTAGCCTGGTTTTGATCTTTAAAGTCTGGGAATCTCAGAAATGAAAGGCCCTTTAGCATCAACCAGGTGCTTAATTTCCATTTATGTGTTTATTTACTTTATTTATTATTATTATTATTATTATTATTTTGCAGTACTGGGGTTTGAACTCAGGGCCTTCACCTTGAGCCACTCCACCAGCTCTATATTTTGTGAAGGGTTTTTTGAGATAGGGTCTCACAGAACTATTTGCTTAGGCTGGCTTTGAACCACGATCCTCCTGATCTCTGCCTCCTGAGTCACTAGGATTACAGGTGTGAGCCACTGGTGCCTGGCTGTTTATTTACTTTGAGACAGGGTTTTATTATGTAGCCCAGGCTGGTCTTGAACTTGTGATTCCACTGCCACAGCCCCTGAAGTACTAGGATTACAGGCGTGCAACACCACCCCCAGTCTTCTCCTAACCTTTAGCTGCAGAACCAGCACTCAGGCACCCTGGACAAAAGCCGAGCACATAGAAGCTACGGCTGGGACCCCGCTGTGGGGAGCAGAGGTCCCTCTGCCGACCCTGGGCTCCACTGAGCAGCCCTTAAATCAGTGAACATCCACCTACCAATTTTACACATGAGAAGACTTGAGGTCCCAGGAGGGTAGTGACTTGCCCAAAGCCAGCCAGCCAACCAGAGGAGAAACAGGACCAGGAGAACAGTCTCCTGGCTTGGCTCCAGGTCACCTCTCAGGGCGTTTGGCAAGTGAGTCAGTGCAAGGCTGGAAGTCTCAGGCAACAGGTAAAAGTCCCTACAGAGACCAGGTGCCAGCAGGGCTATCATGTGCCACGAGCAGCTCTTGGGCAATCTCCACTGTCCCAAATCTATTTGTGACCTTTGTGTGGAAAATGGCCCCACCAACATCCCCAAGTTTGTTTGTTTTGGGCAATCCTGGGATTTGAACTCAGGACTTGATACAATTTGAGCTATGACCCTAGCCTTTTTTGCTTTAGTTTGGTTTCAGACAGGGTCTCAAGATTTTGCCTAGGGCTGGCCTTGGAACTTGATCCTCCTACCTCCATCTCCTGGGTAGCTGCCAGCATCCCAAAGTTTATGCATAAGGCCCAAGACCTCAACCCCAGGAGCCCCCATCATTACAGTAGCAGACACAGTCCAAACAGGCTCTGTATTTCATTTCTGCACAAACCACAGAGGGGCCAAAACACTGACAGAAGTGGTGGCAGACTAGATGGCCCAGAAAAGCTACCACCAACAGACTGAGAACAGGCGACTGTTCTTAGCACAGAAGTTGGGACCACTCCTTGGGGATCAGGGTGACTCCATACTCAAGTGACTCATGATGGCCCCAGGCCACTGAGAAAGTCCATTTAGAAAAACTAATGTGTGTAGAAGGTTTGGACATGTCTGCCTCCAAAATGGGAAAAAATGTCAAGGTTCAAGGGCAAGTTTTGAGCACCCTAGAAACCTTATCACCAAGGATAACGCCATTTGCCATGAACCACTGCAAGCAAGACACCCACTAAAGCCTGCCAATCATCTCGCCCTGGCACAGACTAGACTAGGAGCACAATGCTCATTAGGTTAGAAACAGCCTTCTAGTGATTTGTTTCGTGCGTTTTGGGAAAACCCAGAAACCTGCAAAGCCCATTCTTATACTGGCCACAGACAGGGGCAATGGCACCGTCATGCCCCTGCTGCTGCCTTTTCACCTCTGGGGTCCCAGGCAGCCTTCCCGTGGCCTTTCTGTCCTGGGCTGGACCAGCTGGGCCAAGGCCAAGCTGCATTGCTGTGTGACCTTGGCCCCTCTTAGCATCCTCTCTGAGCCCTTGGCAGGGAACCTGTCTGGAAAACAGGAAGGCTACCAAGTTTGGCTGCTCCTACACTCTAACTTCTTCTGAAGCCTGCCAGGAAGGCAAGCATGGTGATACACAGCTGTCCTGGCATGACACCCACACTGATGGTTTTGTCTCTAGAACTGCTAAAGGCCGACTCCACAATGTTACCTCCCAGTAGTGAGGAAGGGGAGAACACAAGTGGTATCCGGGGTTCAAGGAAGAGAGACAACTTGCCCAAGGTCCCCCAGTTACTACCTATCTCAGATGTGCCCCAGGGAAATGAGGCGCCACCAGGGGCAGAGAGAACCCCGTGGGTGGAAGGGAGGCAAAACCGGTCTCCTCCTGAGCCCCTAGAACCAGCCTCACGTTGATCAACTAACTGCAGGAAGGCTGGGGGCACAAAGCCAAGACATGGCCAAAAACCACACCAGCACAATTAATATTCCTGCTTCTGTCTTGGAAGGTGTTAAAGGTCTTTGTAACTGAAGAAAAAGCTTGTTTTTAGGTTGCTGCTGTCATGCACACACACACACGTCTTAAAGATCTTCCACAGGGGCACAGGGTACAGATGATTTCTATGTATTTCTTCTGGGAAAAAAAGACTAAAAAAATAAATCAGTGACAGAAACCTGATGCTAAAAGAGTGTGGATTTGGGGCTTTTGACAGTCCGCATACAAACCACTGCGCAAAAAGAAGGAGGAAATGACAGCTGAGCCTCGGAGCTGCCGTGGCAGAGACAACAGACATCTTCAGAGTGACACGCACAGCAGCTTCAAGTGTCTATTTTCATCTCCCCATGTTTACAGGAAAGACAGAGGTGTCAGCAGCCCTCTGCAGAGCAGCTTCAATCACACCCTAATTACCACCAAGGGGGGGTGTGAGGAAGGAGGATGAGGAGCTGGGGGTTGCAGCAGAGGGAGAGTGGACCAAGAGGAAGAGGTGGGGACCGCACAGCTGCTGCATTTCAGTTCTTCTCATCTGTCCCCAAGGCTGCCAGCTCAGCCTGGGTTAAGGATTTGGCAGAATTGAGAGGGATCTGCCAAGCCAGCCGGGGTTAGGGTAGTGGTTAGGACACCTGGACCAAAGGCTGCAGTATCCAGAAGAAGGGATTTGGAAAGGCTAGGGTAAAGGAGGTTGGCTGAAGCCCAATGGCTCCCCTCTTAGGTACCAGGACCAAGGCTGGAGGTGGTTGCTATGGTGATGGGAGGCCAAGTCAGGGTGGGACTCTAGCCATCCTCTAGGTTTCTGAAGCTTGGCAGATCTAACCTGGGAATCAGGGTGGATCTCTGAGGCTGGCCACTTCAAGCCTCTGGGACTGAGAACCCCTCTGCTTCACAGGCCTCCCTCCACTCTTCATCTGGAATGTCCCATCTGAGCCCTCTGGGAGGGCTGGACAGGTGGGTGGACAGGTGGGTGGACAGGATGGGTAAGTGGGCAGGTAGCTCTGCTTCCTTCTTGGCTGGAGGAAGTGAGACAGAAGGAAAGCAGGGGGAGAGAAGGGAGGGTGGAGGAAAGAGGGGAGCATGGGGAAGTATACATAACAGAAAGAAGAGGAGAAAGCAGGGAAGTGGGAGCCAGCAGAAGAGCCGGGAGAAAGAGGAGAAAGGCAAGAAGCAGCGGTGGTGGCAGAGGAAAGACCAGATAGAGCACGGTGGGAGAGGGGAGAGCCGAGAGAGGTGAGCCCAATGACAGGCAAAAGACACGAATGCCTCCTTCCCTGCTTCCCTCCTGCCTGCCTCCCCCCTTCTCCTCCCCACTGATTTCATTTACTTCACTTAATTAGCCCCCCTCCAGAGTTAAAAAGATAATGTGATAATGGCGATGTGAACAGCCACACTGCATCCAGAGCTCGTCCATCTGCAGCTTCCCAGCCCTCTGTCCCTGACCTTGTGGCCCTAGTATCCACTGACCAGGCCATCCAGACCCAGGGTCCTGGCGCTGCCCAATATCCTACCCTTCTGCTCCACCCCTGAGAAATAAAAAAACAAGCCCTTAACGAATTTCAATTACAAGCTTTGTAAAATCAATACAAATGACAGCCCCCCTGTACACAGTGATACGGACGACCTTGGATTCCAGCCCTACCCTCAATATAATTGGCGATTAACAGCCTCTCCCATTACCGTACACTTAAAAAACACCTCTCTGTGGGGGAGTCCACAGTGTCCTAATTTATTGCCTCTGATCCTCCTTTCTCACAGACAAATATTTGGAGTGCAGAGACTAAAAACACAATGCCACCCTAAAAATTGCAAAGTAAGAAAATAGGCAAGTGAGAACTTCTGGAAGGCAATGATGACATTTCAGACTGGTCCTTTTCTTGAAAGTTGTCAATTCAGAAAGGGAGAACAGCTTGCCTAAGGTTGCACAGCAACTTCCGAGAGTCAGAATCCCTATTTCTCTCCCCAAAGACTACACAGTGCTCAGATGAAATCCTGTGTTTTAGGGAGAGCCCCTCAGAGGTACATACCCATAATACCGTGACAGAACCAGGACTGAACTCCAGGTCCCTTTTCCTTCGTGGGGAGTAAGGAGCCAAAGAGGTTGGAACAAGTTGTTGATCTCATGGTTCTGCACTTCTGCCCCAGTTCTGGGATAATGGGAATCAGTCTATCTCCCAGACGCAGCACCTCAACCCATTCCACAGATGAAGAATAGAGGCTCCCATGATCAGGCCTCAGGTCTGGCACGAAAGCTTTGATCCTCTACAACAGTTCTTCCACGTGCCTCCCCCAGGTCTCCAGGGAGCTCAGCCCCCATCAGACCCAACCCACCACTAAGCAGGCCAGTGGGTGCTTTCTGCCCTTCTCCACCACCCTCCAGGAATGCTCTGCCTTCTCCTCCCCACATTCAACCAACTGAGGCCTCTCTACTGTCACCTGCAGGATGTCTTCCCTGGAACACTGCAGTCCAGGCCTTCATCACAACTTCCTTCAGTTCACCCGCAAGGATGCCATTTCACAGAGTGACTTCAGGCCAGCCCATCCATTTGTGGCAATCTGATGGATTGGCGGTGCTTGCCAGCAGCACTGAGCTGCCTCTGGTGTCAACAGGGCAGCGCTACAACCAATTAGAGACGCCTGCCATGGCCATGGGAAGAGCATGACAACTACTGGACACCCTTGGGCTTCACTGCTCCCAGAGGCCCAGGCTGCCTTAGTGTTTCCCAGCACCTCTCTGGGGACTGGCCGCCATTGAAGGACCACCTGCATTGCGCCTGTTCTTTTTATCTCGTGTGGGTTCAAATCCACATCTGTCCAGCTCCAGAGCCCAAGCTCTTAGGCCTCCTCTCCATGACTCCCTGGGCAGAGTATCAGTCCTGGTCCTGCCACTGATGTGCCTGGGCCTTGAAAGAGTCCTCTCCCTTCCTGGAGACTTGGTTTCCCTATCTGTAAATGAGGTGCTGGTCTCAGGCCTCATGGCCCTTTCCTGTGCAGCACTGGGGGACTTCCATTGTACCCACTCCCAAAGGCAGGTGGAGACAAAGGGACATTTAATCAGATGCTAAATAGGAGGCCAGGATAAAAGGGAACAGCTAATTAGTCACCTTGTGCTCCACAAGGGCTGCCCAAGACAGGTTCAGCTGGGTTGTCTTTCAGGGACAGCCGTGTGGGGAGGAGGGAAAGAGGCAGAGTGGCTTGGTCCTTCCCTCCTCCTCACATCCACTGAGACAATTTCAAACAGGCCCACCCTGAGGCTTACCTCATTACACATGGGGAAACTGAGGTCCAGAGGTGCCAAGTCCAAGGTCATTGGCTAAGGCAGGGCAAACCTGGGCCAAGAGCTCCAGACATTCTACCTCGCAGACCAGCACCCTCCTCTGACAGTTGAAAACTGGCCATCAGCTCTCTTGAGTTTTAGGATCTTGGTAAAAGTGTCACGAAGGGCAAAGAGCCAGGGCTACACTTGGCCCGGTTTTACTTGCTTGTCTTATCTTTTCAAATTGACCCCAAGCAAAACAACTTGAACACCTGGCAAATGAGGGGCCCTGGATCATGCCCCCAGTATACACAAAAATTCAGATGCCCAATTCAGGGACTCGAACTCCTGGAACTGTGCCTCTCTGTCTCAGAGACCCCCTGAAAGAAAGCAGCATTGCTCTATCATACTTGGGCAGACCCTGAGGGACCTGAGATCCTCTAGTTGGATGGATGGGGAAACTGAGTCCTGGAGAGGAGGGTGTGACCAATGGAATGGCAAATGACTGATAAAGAGAGTCACAGAAGACATACATCTGCTTGGGGATAAACTCCTTCTCTCCCAGGGCCCAGCTAGCCACTCCACACTGAAGCAGAGCCCTGTGTTACTGGACAAAGGGGTTTGGTGCCATACCCTTTTATCCCCTCATAGCGCTGCTCCAGCAGGATTCCTGCCTTGCCTGCATGGCGTGCAAGAGGTAGACTTAACGAGCACGATATTGGCCTGGCAGTCTGCCTCCAAACTCGGCCTGCCTGCCTGTGACACAAGAGAGCCTGACCTCCAGCCCTGGCCCTGGCTGTCCCCTCTCCAAGCTCTCCTGGGCCCCTCCCAACTCTCTGGACAGTTCCTTTCATAATACCCCTGGAAGTCAGTGGCAAAGGCCATTGTCCCCACTTCACTGAAGGGAAACTGCAGTTGTGTGAGGTTTGCCCAAAGTCATCCATGTAGCACAGAGTGGCGTGGAACAGTGGTCTTGGGGTCTCTGGTGAGTGGGGTGCTGAGACACGCCCCAGGGTCCTGACTCACCTCGGGACTTCATTCCAATGAAGCGGTTCTCCACAATGTCTATGCGGCCCACACCGTGTTTGCCCCTGTGGGAGGAACAGGTCACAAATTCAGGCCCCGCCACAAGGTTTGGGTCCAGAGGTCAGCTCCATCTTAGGCTCTGAGACTCAGAGGATACCTCAACCAGGTCACCCTATCCAAGTGCCCCTTGTACAGGTGAATACACTGAGGCCCAGGGAAAGAAGTGTCAGCCTGATTTGAGTTTGCCTCTTCTGTCATCTCTGTCTTGGAGCCTGCCTGGCCCAGCCCTCACCACATTCATCTTTCCTTTTATCGGAGGGTCTGGAAGCCCTAGCCTGGCCAACCCTGGAAGGCAGCAGATCCTTGGGGCTGTTGTCTTCAGTGGCTGAAGTATTCAGATAGGGACTAGGATTTTCCCGCCAAACCCATCACTGGGCCAGGGGGCTGTATGCGTACGGGGCCAGGACACAGCCTGCCTTCCTCTACTCCTGCACTTCGGTTGTAAACACAGCTACAAAGGCCCAGGTGTGTCTGCAGGAGACAGTGGGCCCAGGACACCAGGCAGATCGCAGGCACTCACGCAACTTCGTTCAGGTACATGAAGAGTTCCAAGGAGGTGTGGTGGGTGGTGCCATCCTTGACATTGGTCACCTTCACGGGGACCCCTGGAGGAGGAAGAGGAGAAAACAGTAAGCCTTGGGCTGAGGCTCAGCAGCACAGCCTGTGCCCGCCACCCCACCCTCTCCCTCTACCCGCAACGCCTTAAATGGATGTGACAGATATAGAGTCCAAATGACTCCTTCAAAGCTCTGTGCAGGTTGAGGCCTGCTGGGGGGAGAGAAGGGGCGAGAAAGCCCCCCCAGAATGAAAGGGAAAATGCAATAAAAACGCTCTCCCTCACCCTCCCGTTCTCTTTGCCCCTTTTGCATTTAGGGGCTGTGAAATTGGAACCAGGCCCTGAACTAATTCAATTTCACGCTCCACCATTGTCTTACCAGGGAGCACCTTCTGTCCCACCAGCTACCCGGGGGCCTGGCGGAGGTGCAGGCGGGCCCTTGAGTGCGTGTACACACACACACACACACACACACACACACACTCAGCTCCCCGCCACATGCGTCAGGTGGACCCCATTCCCCTGCACCCCAGCCAGCCATCTGATTGATGGGGTGAGCTGGTGCCCACTCCAGCAGGGAGGCATCCACGAAGTCTGAGGGGTCTGGGATGGCAGGAGGGCAGGAGGGAGGCGGCTGTGGCTCGGCAAGGAAAGGGCCTTGTGGGGGCGGGGGAGGGGACAGTGGGTGGGTTTGGGGTTGACTCTGAATAGCAAGGGGCACTTTCTCGAGCGGTGTGAAATGAGCAATAAATGTATTAGGGGACTAACAAGAGAGCTGTAACAGTGACAAAGAAAAGCTGTTCAAAGTTGGCGGCTAATCCCCCACCCATCTGCCTGGCTCATTACCATGGAGCCAGCCATCGGGTGCCAATCAGGCCTCAATAGCGACTTTCCAGTCTTTATTAGCCAGGCGCCGTTTGGAGGGGCTTCGCTCAGGGCGCTGACAGCCTCGCCATTCTTAACCCCCATTTCCAGGGGTTTTATAACTTGGTTGTAAATTGCTATTAAATGTAAGTCTGCCCAATAATGAACCTTAAGCCCCTCTAGCCACCCCCCCCACCCGCCCTCGCCGCTCCCTTTCTCTCCCTCCGTGGTCCTATTATCGGCCTTGGCTGGGGCCTTGGCTGGGGCCTTCCCCGGGAGAAGAGGTGACATTGTTGGTGCTGCTGCTGGAGAAAGCCTCTTAGCCTTTAAAATAGTTAATAATTAGATTAAAACTTCAAATAAATTAACTAGAGAGTGAATAGGGTCTAGGCACGGAAGGGCTCCTCCCCTCTTTTTTTTTTTCCCCTTCCAGACAGTCCCGGAATCATTACAATGTATTGAGTGTCTTCTCCAGCTCAGCCCCGGGGCTGTCCTGCTCTTCCAGGAAGGCTGCTGGATCCCTGTGCCGGGACCCTCCACCACCTCCTGCTTACCTCCCACTCCTCTCTCCTGGGCTCCTGAAAAGCCGGAGGTGCTGCTACCTGTCTGACCCACCACCTACTCAGGATGATGCTTGTGGGAGACAGCAGGCCTGGCCTGGACACAGCAGGCCTGAGATGGACTGAGGGCCCAGCTGCCTTTAGGGCCCCCCACCAAGGCCTCTTTGGACCCTCTGGGTCTCAGGGTGGAGCGGGGAGAGAAATTCAACAGTCTGCACAGTTGCCGGAGAGGAGAATGATGGCTGGGCTGGGCTTTTAGAAAAGGCCTAGAACAAGTGAATCATTAAAAAACTAACAGTAGCCCCTGCCTTACAAACACAAAGCCCTGAGTTCAAACTCCATCCCACCAAATAAAAAAAAAAAAAGAACAGTAATTCTACCTGCATATCATACTCAGTACTTGTGAGTGTCGGTCCCTGGCCCCTCCTCCCCCCCCCCCCGCCTTTTTTGGTGAGATTGGGGTTTGAACTCAGGACTTCATGCTTATAAAGCAGTTGTTCTATAACTTGAGCAACACCTCCAGTTCACTTTGCTCTAGTTATTTTTTATTTTATTTATTTATTTTTTTTTGGTGGTACTGAGGTTTGTGCTCTCTCTCTCTCTTTTTCTTGGCAATGCTGGGGTTTGAACTCCAGGCCTCATGCTTGCTAAGCAGACACTCTACTGTTTGAGGCACTCCACCAGCCCTGCTATGGTTATTTTATGCAGTCTACAGTCCTCTGCTCTACCAGCTGAGTTATCGAAGGGTGCATATGGTTATTTTAGAGATGAGTTTCCAGAACTTTATTTGCCCAGGCTGGTCTTGAACAGTGATCCTCCTGATCTCAGTCTCCTAAGTAGTTAGGATTATAGGTGTGAGGCACCAGTGCCTGGCTTCCCTGACCCATTTTATAGGTGAGTAAAGCCCAAAGGGGTGACTTTCCTTGCTTCCCTTGCCCCATCCTCCATCTCTGAGGTGCCTTTCAAGGCTGAGCTTTGGGGACCCTCTTACTCTACTCCCTGTTCCTGCTCAGGCATCACTTTGTGGATAGATGGCTGTACTTCCTGCCTGGGTACAGGATGCCTCTGCCTCCTCTTGGCTTCTCTAGTTGCTGCTCAGCACCACCTCCTCCAGGAGGCCTCCCTAACCTTGCAGCATCCTGGAAAGGCCCTCTTCTTGGTCCCCAAGCCTTCGCTCTGAACTGCATCCTGCTCCTCCCATCACCAAGCAGGATGGTGACACCATTTGGTGTCAGTATCCAGTTATGCTCCTTCCCCTTACAGAACTCCTTCCACACCAGGACAACAGCAAGCACTCTTATCCCCAGTATAGAGGAACAGGAAAGTTGAGTGACTTTCCCAAAGTCCCAAAACAGCCTGCAAGTGACCAATCAAGGACAGGAAAGTTCTCAGCCTGGGTTGAGTGTCGGTGACCTGGTGGGATGGGAAGCTTCCCAACCCAGAGGCTGGGCCGGATCACACTGCCCAGGGAAGCTGCCAGGAACCCGTGAAGTCCCTTCCTGAACTCTGGCTTCCAGGAATGCAGGAGGGGTACAGAGGTCCTGGGTCCCAGGCAGAGGGGGGACAGGAGCCAACCCCCAAGAGTTGACTCCCTTCCATTCCTGACAGGTGGGCACGTACCTTTCTTGAATTCTATCTCAATTATGTCAGGGTCATTGGGAGCTTTGGCTGGATCCTGGGTCTTTGTGTAGAGACCGGGAGGAGCCTGGTTCTGACAAAAGAGAAAGAGGTTGGAGGGTGGGGTCTCTAGAGCCAAGCCAGGACACACCAATGCCTAGCCACCTGCCCCCCAGCTCCCGCAGGCACCTACACCCCTTCCCCCTCTCCAGTACCAGGGGCCATTGGCACTTCCCCTCCAGCTGGTTGGTCCAGTGGGCTCCACAGCCCCCAGCTAGCCCTGCTTGCCAGGGGCCTGGGAAACAAAGGGCTCAAGAAATCAGACAATTTTTCCCCTCAACTTGATCTCATCTTTTTCTTCGACGCCCCCACAGCTGGAGGTAGAATAGCAGGAGAGAAACTAGTCAGGCAGGGAAAAGTGTGACTTTGGAGAAGCAAGGCCGCAGCGTTTCCACGGGCTTCCCGGGAGCAGCCCACACGCCCTCGCTGGCGCTGGGAATTGGGGTTTATTCTGCGCTGACCGCAAAGCTAATGACTGCGCGTGACCCCAGCAGGTGCTTCAGCGAGCTGAGCCATCCCCAGGGTCCCTGAGGTTAATACTCACAGGGAGAAAAGAGAAGAGCAAAGCAAAAACCCATTTGAAAACACATCAACCTTTATGTATATTTTTTCTTGGGCGTGTTGGAAAATGGGCCTCTCCTCCTAATGGTGAGGCGGAGGGGCTTCGCGCTGCCTGGGACTCTCAAAATTCTCTCCCGCCTCCACAGCCCCCCCAGCTCCCCCATTCTCAGCTTGGACACTTGCCACTCAAGGGATGGGGGCCTGTGGGGTCTGATGGCTGGAATCCCTCCCATGGCATCCCACGCCCAGCTGTCTGTCCACCTGCCGATGTCCTGGGAACTGCAATCCCTCAGTCTTTCCTTTCAAGACCTCGTGGACATTCTCACCACTGTCCACTTGCAGTGGCTTCTGAGTTCTGGACAGCCCTGTTTGGTCAGGACAAACCATCTCTGTCCCATCTCCAAAGAAGGAACCAAGGCTGTGGGAGGCACTTCAGCTGCAGCTGAGTTCTGCATGGAATGGACTTCATCCCACTGAGTCTAGGTCACCCAGCATATGGCAGGGAACCCATGAGACCTTTGATGAATATGTCTTCAATTTCAGAGCCGTGGAAAACTCCCCCAAGCCAGGAGTCAAGGCCTCACTGACTGTGGGGCCTTCAGCAAGCTGCGTTACTTCCTGTTTTATATGTTGCTGGTATGGGGTTTGAACTCAGGGCCTTGCGCTTGCTAGGCAGGCATTCTACCTCTTGAGCCACTCCTTTATTCCGAGTTGCCTTACTTCCTTGAGCCTCAGTTTCCTCATTTGTAAATGGGAAAACGATACCTGCCCTTGACTGTTTTACAATTTAAGTGCAGACAGAGCTGGGCACTGGTGGCTCACACCTATAATCCTAGCTACTCAGAAGGCAGAGATCAGGAGGATCTTGGTTTGAAGCCAGCCCAGGCAAATAGTTCACAAGACTCTAGCTTGAAAACACCCATCATAAAAAAGGGCTGGTGGAGTGGCTCAAGTGTAGGCCCTGAGTTTAAGCTCCAGTACTACAAAAAAAAATTTTTTTTAAATGCAGACAGTCTTCTGCTGGGTGTGGAAACACAAGAAAGTGCTAAACAAGTCCTGGTGCGAACAGGGACATTCTGCTGGCAGAGGGACCGTGTTGATGGGCTCTGAGCCTCCTCCACAGAAGAGCCCCTCCAGGAAGGGTCACTCATCTGGGAGCTATTTGCCAACACCTGGGTTCCCCCAGAACTCTCCTGATTTTAACACTGACAGCACTTAAGAATCCTAAATCCTATGTTGACTAGACTGAGCTGGGATGGGTCTGTAATGAAAGCATCTCACCCAAAGTGCTGTGTGACACAGGGCCTGAACCCTACATCTTTTTCCATTCATGTGACACAAACAAGAACTCAGACCAGCCTTAAGGACAGACCCAGGGAAGCTGGAGGGGTTTAAGGGTCCCCAGTCTGATGCCTCCCTGGACCAGAGGGAAAACCAAAGCCCAGAGAAGAGGCCTGTTCTTCAAAGACAGCCTGGGGCTCTCTCAAACATCCATGCCCTCTTCTAGCTCTATGGCAACCTGGGCTGAAAAGCAGCCAGCACCATTCCCCAGCCCTCGGCCTGGTTTCAGAGAAATGCCAGGCTCTCCTGGCTCATGAGGTCCTGCCAACACCATGTTCCCTGGACACAGACAGGCCTAAAGGCCCATCTTCAGCCTGAAGGGCAAATGATTTGCGCAGCTCCACAGCCCCTTTTCTACCTGCCCAGGACTCCAAGGGCAGGCTTAATTCAAACCAGGGTGCCAGTGCTGAGGGCTGCCCTTCCATCAAGCCCACCTCCCTCCCACCCACCGCCACCTGCACTGGGCCTGCCTGTGGTTGCTTGTCACTTTCTCCAGCCACACTCCTTAGAAGTAGAGGGTGACAACAGAAAGAGGAGACAGGAAGGTCCACACTGTACAACGGAAGTCAGAGGCAGCTGTCGAGTGGGCTGGTACCTGACAGCACCGATTAAATAAAATAACTAAATAGAAAGAAAATGACATTTGCTTTGCATTCTGAGGTGGGCAGGCGCCTGCCTTCTTTTTACTCTCTCTCCTAAAAGCCTGGTTCAAATGACAAACAGTTGTTGCTGAGTATCAATGTTGCTATTTATCCACCCCAGCAGGAGGGCTCACTTCCAATGTCATCTCGTGGGGGGGGGGAGTGGACTGGAGGGAGGGGAGAGAATGAAGAAAGAGAGAGAGAGAACTCGAGAGGATAGGGGTGGGGGTGGGGGAGAGGACGAAAGAAAGCATGAAACAGGGCCCGAAGAGGAGGAATTGGAAACCAATGGCCCACGAACTGAACCATGATGTAGAGGCATGATGGATGCTGCAAATGGTTCATTCATCCATCAGATATGGCGGCCGGCGGCTGAATGAACTCTTTCACTGTGGGCCGTATGAAGTTAAAGCAAGTAAATTTCTATCTTTCTTCGCATTAGCTGCCTCATTGCCCTTCAATCAGCTCTCATGGAGGCAGAAAATAGCTCAGCCATCTGCCTCAATCCCTCCAGTCCACAGGGCTCGGGTCTTGGGGCTCTTTTTGGGAGAGGGGGAGGGGCACCCATTCCCTTAAGCTCTAGCTCCCAGAGCTCCTCCCCAGGGGGTCTGAGCCACTGCTTGGCACAGGAGATCCAGAGACACAAACAACGGTCCTGGAATTTAAGTTAGCCCTCGGTGTGCTTTTCTGTTGGCATGGCCAGGCCAGCATAGAGGATAGTGCTGACCCCCTGCCAGATTGGCTGGACTGTGGGTGCCTCTTACCAGGCTCGTGGGTCTCAGCAGGCAGGCTGTATCTCTGGACTCACACCCAGCCCGGCCTGGCCATCCCTGCTTAGTGAGGGCCTCTAAGCAGACCTAGGTCCTTTAACACTTAGCCTCCCACTTGAGGAAGGATGAGTGAGACCCCCAGCCCCATGGTTGAGGTCTTGTCCTGGGCTAAGCCAAGCATGGGGGAGGTGTGTGTTTTGTACATGAGGATTTTAGAGGCTCAGAAGGGTTGGGTAGCTGGCTGGACATTGCCCAGCAATGGGAGTCAGACAGGTTTCCTATCTCTGGTATTGGGTAGGTGGTGGCACTTACATAGCCATCCAATGCCCTCATTAGATCGAAGGCCTGAAGGGGACAGGACCTGCCCACGGTGACAAGGTAAGTTATACCAGGTCTCTGATTTCCCCTCTGGTCTCAGCTCTGCTCTCACAGTCCTGAGGTGGGCTGTTCTTGGAGTTCCTCCTCCCTGGTGAGGAGAGGACTGCAGGCTGCTAAGAAAGGGTGGAGAGTGCTTTTCAGCATGTTTGGGACCAGCAGGACATCTTGCCTGGAAGCTACTTGTTCTTCCCAGTCCTGGCTCAGCCTTCCTGGGCTGGGGGGGGCAGGGGGCAGGGGGGCAGTGGGGGGGCCTTGGTGTGACTGACTGGCTAATGAGAGGTGATTGGCCTGAGTGGCATGGGGTCAGCAGAACATGAACTGGAAAAACCTGTGGCCAGCAGGCAGTGGCTCTGTGGGCCTATCAGTCCCCAGGGGGCTAAGGTGCCAGCTCCCCTACGTGACAAATGTGAACCAAGGAGGGTAAGCAAGTAGGACAGAGAACCATAGGTACAGGGAGAACCAGCCATGCCCTCTCTCTGAACAGCTGGGAGGAGTCAGTGCTTTGGGCCTCAGTTTCCACACCCCTAAAATGAGGGTGCTTATAGCCAGCATCCAAGGACATGGAGGTGGAGAAGCACCAGGCCCGGTGCTAACAGTCACTAGTGTACTTTCTATCATGGCTAACACCAGCCATGGCTGGCTCTGCTGTTGCAGCATGGGGCAAAGGCAAGGGTACAGGTCCCCTGGTGAGGCTACGGCTCTGCCTGTTCTCACCTAAACCGACAGGCCTCCTCCCCTCCAGCTGTCTTTCTTGGTGCCTGAGTGCAAGCCCCCTTCCCTAACAAACATGTCTTCCCTAACATCAGCCAAGCAGCAACCCCCCTCCCCCCAAAAAAGGCAGCCACCCAGGGTGTGAGGCTCAGCTAGGGACTGGAGACATCCCCTCCAGGACAAAGAGATTTTTCTCTTCCGTGACAGACCTCACCCTGCCTCCCCACCAACCACGGGGGATGGGGGAGGCACAAAGAATCCCCCAGGGAAAGAACCCCTAAACTCCAAACAGGGCTGTGGGCCCAGCCTGGCCAGCCTGAGAGGCTGGGGACAGGGATCACCCAACGTGGTGTGTGTGGAACACAGATCCAGACAAATGGGTCCTGGGGCTCTGACCCCCACCCCAGATCCAGGCAGCAGCTTAGCCAGCAAGGGCTGGTGGGCCCAGGCTGGGCCCTCCCACAAGTGTCTCATCTGCCTAATCACTTCTTTATTGTCTCCAATCACACACTCTCTCTGCTGCCCTGAAATATTTCCTTCCTCTATTCATCCCACAGCACTTAGAAAAAGAGCAGGGAGGGGAGGGGGGTCTCCAAACGCAGTGGAGAGGGCAGGCGGAGGGACTGGTGGGGAGGGAAGAGGAGGGAATCTAGGAAGGGCCGGGGCCCCCCGTGAAATCTCAAATTAGGCTACGAATGCCTCAGACAGCATCGGCATGGAGCGGCTCCTGCCAGAGGCACCAGAAATATGGGGGTTACCTTGGGGTTCTCCAGGATTCCAGCCTCGTAGCTGTGGGGTGAGAGGGAAGGTGGGGTGAGCTGAGGAGGGATACAACAATGTCATGTACACTCCTACCACCCCATTGTGTGCCCACAAGTCTGGTCTACCCTTTTCTTTCTGCCAAAGCACCTGCTACCAACCCTGCCTGGAACATTCTGGACTATGGGAGTTGCACCCTATGGGAAGAGCTGGGACTGCACCCCACCCCCACCCCCTGTGGGCTGCACACATGGGGGCCTCTGCTCTCAGCCACCTGCTCATGCTGTTCCCTCTGCTTGCAACAGTGGGGTCTTCTTCATCCTTGAGGCACTAACCTCAGATGCTACTCCCTCAGGGAAGCCCTCCCTGATACCCCCAGACAAAGCCAGGTCCTATGTCGTACTCTCCTGTGATTTCTGGGATCATCACAGGTGTTGGGGGTCTGACCTTCCTGAGGTGGCTCTGCTTCACCAGGGCAGGGCCCTAGGTGCAGGGCTCATAGTCAAGATCAGGTGCAGTGGTGTGTCTCACCTGATATGCATGAGGTTCTCATCCATGCTCCATGGGCTCTTGGGGGTGACTGGGATGGGAATTCCATGTTGCTGTGGATAAGACACAACACAGGCAGGTGTGAGGAAGCTGGAAGTGTACCTAAGGGTAAGGCTTGGTCACCTGGTTATCCTCAAGGTGCCAGGTAGCCCTAAACTCTGGGGCTCCCATTCAGGCAAGACCCTGGACCAACCCCAAATCCCATTCCCTCCTCAGGGTGCCCAGGGAGAGAATGAAGGTCTCACCACTAGACGTGCCTATACAACTATAAGACAGTGTACCTGAGATCTGAGGAATGGATGCTAACCTTCCAGAAGATTCTGTGAGTCCACACTCCCAGGGCCGCTGAAGCACTTAGTGCCAAGCACTGAGCCCAGGGTCTCCCAACATCAGCTAACTGATGCCCATCATACCTTATGAGCTAGGGGCTAGAACAGCCTAAACTCCCCCCATGCAGCCACAGTGTAACAGGCATCTGCCCTCAGAACCCACGTGTTTCACGTGGACCCAGTGAAAGGCAGGACACCCAGGTGTGTGTCTGGCTCATGGCACTTATTTACAAGACAGGCCCAGCACCTTCTGGGAGCTGCTGCTCTCCACACCCAATGCAACAGCCACATACATCACTCTGCAGACCCTACGAGGGGACAGCACAGGCAGATCCTTCAGACTTGTCTCCGATGACGTATGTGTCCCTAATGAGGGGATCTACTGTTAAAAGAAACCTCCCACTCCCAGACTAGACAGAGCTGGCTACCCCTGTGCAGGCCTATCTTGCTCAGCTTTTGAGGGGAAGACAAGACAGGTTGTCTTCGTGACCTGAGCCCCCCCTCGCCTGCACTGCTCCATTCTCCAGCACAGAGCCCAAGAGACCTGCTTTGCCCTCCCCAGGCCCAGCAGGCATCAAGTGCAGTAAGTGGCCCAGGCCAGCGGTCCCCTGAAGCCCTGAAGCGGGGAGACCATTGGATGCTCTGCTTCCCAGATTCCACACCAGTGCCTCAGGCCCTGGGGTCTCAGCGGGAGGCCCTGTGGGTGAGGCTTGCTTGGCTCTGGCTCTTCACCTATGGCTGAGGTTCTAGGTCTCCTCTGGGAGCTGCTACTCTTCCTTCATCACTGTGCTAAACTGAAAATGAGGCTAAAAGAAGAGGACAAAACCCAAGTTTTCTTTCTTTTTTTTTTTTTTTTTAGGAAACTTATTTCAAAAAGACACATCCATATCTACCCTAGAGTATCTGTGCCCTTGGTTCAAACTACAAGGGAAAATAAGGATGGCTTGTTTCTAGGTTGTTCAGTGTTGGGGACATGTGTTCACACTTGCCCTGTGCTCTTTCCATGTGGACCTGCCAGGTGTGGGGGCCAGGACCTTGTGCAAGATGGGTTTACACTGTCTTCCTGCCTCATTGCTGGATGGCTGAGGGTGAGAGCAGCGGGCAGCCTGGTTCTCTGGAGCCTGTGCTTTTGGGGGTGGTGTGGGAATCCTTGCCATCTCTTTGATCCAGTGGGTCTCCATCATGGAGTGAGGAGGGGAGGGGGAAGGGCAGGGAAGAAGGAGGGATAAGCCGGATGGGTGGCCTTCACTCAGCAGAGAGACACACAGATTATGCCAGATAGAATGACGCAAGGCCCAAGAGATTTCTGTTTCCCAACTCTTCTCTGTCCTGAGGAACCTACCCATAATTTCTCATGGTAACTGGGGACAGAACACAAAACCACCTTCACTGTGGGCTCACTGTGGGGCAGGTGGCCACTCTGTGCCCCACCTGGTATTCTGGCTTATCATTATTATTTTGGTGGAACTGGGATTTGAACTCAGGGCTTTGTGCTCACAAAACAGATGCTCTACTGCTTAAGCCATACCGTCAGTTCATTTTGCTCTGGTTATTTTGGAGATGGGGGTCTCTTGAACTATTTGCCTGGACTGGCCTCAAACTAAGATCCTCTTGATCTCAGCCTCCCAAGTAGCTAGGATTACAGCATGAGTCACAGGGCGCCTGGCTAGGTTTATTATTTTTTAATTAATTGCGGTAGCAATGATAAGGATGGTGGTTCTGAGCATTTTTGCCTTAGACGATGTGTCTGGAGGGAGACAGAGAGCACAGCAAATGCAGGTTTTTATGAGGCTTACAGAGCACCTTTTGGCCCTGGCTACTTACGGGTCTTGAAACCAGAGATTTTCAAAGCCCCATTGATTTTTCTCTCATCTGTCTCAGATCCTGCCTGGCTCTGAATTTTGGACAAAGCCTTGCAGCTACTCAGTTATTCTAGTCATTTCCTGAGTGGCTCTGCCTTCCTTCTAGAATGTACTTGGATTTTCCACGCCTGGACCCTGAAACCCAGCTCCCAGGAAGAGGGTGGGTGGCCGAGGGAGGACACCTTCGTCCTTCCCTAACTTTTTCAGTTCCAAAGCTTATTTGGAATGGAAGTTAAGCCAAGTGCCTTCTCCTGCAAATCCAGGAAGAGGGAACCACTGCATTCTTAAAATTTATCTTTGCTGGAAAAACCAGAGACTGCTTTTGCATGGGGGCTGGCAGCAAATGGAAGCCACCTTTATCCATAGGTCAGTCTGTCCCTCCCATCGCCACTCAGGGAGTGAGTGTGGCAGAGTGCAGGGCTTGCAATTCATTATACTTAAAGACGAGACATGCTTCATACTCTATATCATCCTGGAGAAGGGTGTGGGGGGAGGCAAAAAGACGCCTGGCCAACCTTCTCTCCTTTAATAGCGAGCGCTGCTTTTGACAATTTGTTTGGCAACATATGGGTTTGCTCTTGTAAACTCCCCTCTTAATAATAAAACAACAGATGGTGGAGGAGGTCCTTCCTCCCAGCGCTCCAGGGCTTAATGGGATGCTGGCGGCAGGGCAGGGTTGCCTTCCCGCCGCATCCCCTACCACGCGGCACCTTGGCTGCACAAGAGCACACAGCCAGCCCTGGCGACTGCTATTTAAAAACCTGAGCAATTTTCTGGTGTGTGCACTGAGTTGCTTTTCTCCCGTCTGATTGATTGAGGCTGTTTGTCAAGTGCTGCCATAGAGTCGCTAAAAAGAAAGGTGCCCCGGGGAGCAGCTAAGGATCTCGATGCAAAACTTCTAATATGTTTTCTTGCAACTTGTACTTCAAAGAAGGCTGGCACCACAAGAAGCTTTGTCTGCCTGCCCCTCACAGCGCCTACCTGTTCCCGGGAAAGCGCTGGGAACAATTAGTGACCAGGTAATCGAGGGACAGAGGATGGCCTCTAGCTCACACCCCCTCCCTGGCTGTCCCCCACCCACCCCCCACAGGGAGCCACACCCATGGACCACAGCAGAGGTGCGAACAAGGCTCTGATCTCCCTGGGAAAGGGAGGGGGACAGAGCCCAGCACCTTCCAGCTCATGGACTGGAGATGCCCCTCAGAGATGTCCCCACCCAGGAAATGGAATTGGCAGATGACCTCACTTCTATGGGGCCGGCTGAGGGAACAGGTGCAGCTGGAGTAGTGGTCCATTCTCCCATCCCAGCCCTGGCCCAGGTGGCCCTAAGCAGGGATGCGCCTGAAGGGCCGGGGATGATGGTGGAGACTCAGTCTTACCTTTGCGTACTCCATCAGGTCATTGCGGCCTTTGAACCGGTTGTAGAACTCTGGCATCCTCCAGGGAGCGATGACCTGGACACAGGGCAAGGGAGTCAGGACTGTGGGGGACCGAGCCACTGCCTTCTGCTGGCTGGCCCTTATGTAGCAGAGTTGGCCTCTCTGGGAATGGTCCACCTGGGGGAGGGTCTTCTGCTGTGTCCCTAGAGAGGATGCAATCTACAGGGAGTGGGCAGAGAGGAGGGTCTTCTGGCTCTGGCTGTAGAGAGGCCCAAATTCCATGGCAGAAAGGCTGTGTGCCCTCTGAGTCTCAGTCTTCCCAACTATTATCTTAGGTCTGAACTAGACAGGCCTCAAAGCCTAGTGACCCTGGATAGGCTAGGGGTTCAAGAGATGACATGTTACCCCCTGACTGGTCTGAGTCTTGCCACAGGCTGCTCTGGGTAGGGGACAGAGGGAAGTAGGAGAGGTATCCAAGACTGATGCAGGGCCACAGGGTTCCCATGAGCCTGAGGGGTCAGGGCCAGGTCCCCTAGAAGCAGAGTCTGCACCCAGCCCTGTCTCTGAGCAAACTTAGGTGTGAGGGCATCGGAAACTGGTCTGGTTTCTGGTCTGAGGAGCTGATATGGTGGGGTGCAGTGGTAGAAAAGCCTGCTGTCCTCAGCCCCCCCAGCCTTAGAATGCAAGGAGCCACTAGCCACCAGATTGAGCCCTGGGAACACCCTGGCTCCTGGAGACCAGCATGGCCCCAGCCCCACTGGAGCCCCTAGGCTAGGCCTCTGTAGACAAAGACCCAGAAACTGGATGCCCTGGCCCCCACAAGCTGCTGTGGGAATCAGAGAAGTGGAAGTAGAGGGAGGAGCTCTGATGCCGGCCATCTCGCCCACCCGCAGCCAGTCAACAAACAGCCACTGTCCAGGGCTCCTCAGCCGCCTAGCATGTGGGGTCAAAACAGATCATTAGAGCTCATTACTGCTCACCTCCAGGCCAGCTCAGCCCCCGACAGCTGCTGGCCGGTTAAAGGGCCAGAGAAAGAGCTTCCACTGAAAGGAAAAACGGCAACTCCCTAGAGCCCAGTGGGGATTGGGAGGGGGCAGGTCTTCGTAGCTTTAGCCACAGTGACCACAAAGGAACTCCAACTGAGACTGCTGTGTGCAGCCACGAGGCACGTGTACCCCTTCCTGAGCACCTGGAGACTGGGTGCAGAGGACCAGGTGTGGGTCTCATTCCAGGTTGGATGACATTTTGAATACATGAGTTCAAAAAAATATATTATGAAGATGATGTCACCTGGGCTCAGTGGTAGAGCACTTGCCTAAGTGTCTGGCTCATGGCCCTGGATTTGATCATCAGCACCGCAGAAGAAAAAAAAAAATGATGTCACCTGTTTCTTTTTATTTCATTTTTCTCACTGTGCCTACTAGAAAAACTAGAATTGCCCGAGGGCTGGTGTTTGTGCCTGTGTTCTGCTCCCATGGCTTTTGGTGCTCTGGCCCAGGAGCCCCATCTTAGGCACTGCATGCCTGGAGCCCCCCAAGGCCTGCAAGGAGTAGGCCCTTGATGAATACTGCAGGGAAGGGGGAGTAAGTGAGTGAAGGAATAAATGGATGGAGGGATGAGTGGACGCAGGCCAGGCCCAAGGCCAGGCAGGAGGGTCAGGGTGCTTGCTTCCCTGACATCCTGGGGATTCTCAACCTAAGATGCTGGGGGCCATTACAGGTAGCCGGGGTGCAGCTGAGTGGCCCTGCTTGTGGCCAGGAGTGCTCTGAGCAACCTAGAAATCAGTATTCATGTCCCAGAGCTGTTCCAGCCTACACCCCTGCAGTGCCAAGGACAGTGGCAGAAGGGCCGCCCACATACGTGGACAGCACCTCTGAGAAGAGTGAGTGGCCAGGGAGGATGAGATCTTCCCTGCAGAATGTCCACCCCTGCCCATCTGATGCTCTTTATGGGAGTGACAGGCACACTGTCCCTGTCCTGTGCTACCTCCTGGAACCCCAAGCTCTGCCCCCAGTGACTACCCTATGTCTTACCTTTATCTGGGGGGCCAGCGAGTAGCAGGTTAGCTCAAACCGGATCTGGTCATTCCCCTGAAACAGAACAGAGGACTGTCAGGACCCACGGGGTAGGGGACGTGGGAGGTTGGGGATGGGGCGGTGTCAGGGGACAGTAGACAGCATGCTGGAAGACTCTCTTCTCTGAGGTACATCCTTTGACCTTACAATCCCCTTTATTATTAGCCTGTTTTAAAGACTGAGGAAGCAGTTTCTGTCCCACAGGTGGGGCCAGCACTTGAACCCAGGACCTTCTGAGTCCAGAGCCGAGCTGTGGGGGCATTCAGGATGTTCCAGGACTCAATGCCTGTGTGCCAGGTGTGTGCTGAGTTGCAAATGCACATGATTCTTGGGTGTGCAGGGCTGAGTTGAGTGTGCATGTGGCAGGGAGCATGTTGCAGTGTGGGCTGTGCATGGTGCAAGCCTGGAAGGACAGGGTGTGTGCACTTCTGGGGACATGGGGGCAGAGGGTCATGCACTATGTCATCTTGTGTGTGTGTACAGTCCAGGGGATGCAAGCCGGAGTGTGCAACTCCTCTGGGTTTGGAGGCCTGGCCTCCACAGATTTCAGGTGCAAGAAGCTCTGCTGGTTATGTCCTCCAGGTGGCCCCTAAGCTGTCCTCACCATGCCCCATACAAAGTCAAGCTCATGCCAGGGCTTGGGCACCATGGTACTTAGATCTTCCACATCTACAACGTTGGGAGTCCTGTCACCCTGAGCCTCAGTTTCCCTACTCTAAAGTGGCTGGCTAGGGGAGGAGACAAAACCAAGTGCCCAGGGAGGGTCTTTTGCTTTCAGTTCCTCTCTGCACAGACAGAGAAACTGAGGCCCAGAGAGGGCACAGGACCAGTCCAAGGACATAAGGCTGAGACAGGACTCCCAAGCCCAGGTCCTATGCACCCTTGCACAGGTCACTTGGTCTGTCAACACACAGTCACCTACGCCCTACCCTTCACCCCCTGCCTGGCACATATTCTTCCAAACAAAGCCCAGACTGCAGACCGCACTGACAATGACCGGGAGGAAGAGGGGCTGGGGTGAGCGCAGGTGGCCAGGACGCAGGCCTCTGCCAGCCCAGCTCAGCCCCAGAAGATGCCATGGCTCCCGCCCACTTTTGCTGTCGGCTCACAGCTGAGGGAGGCTTAAGCACTGTGAAATAATGAGGCACCTTTCGCCTACTGTGAAAACTGCATGGGCGCAGCCAGGCAGCGGCAGGAATAACATGTTATTTTCCAGAGTCTTGTCAGGCAATGCGGAAACCCAGGTTCCAGCCCCTCTCCGCAGAGCCAGGCGATGTGTGGAGCTGCAGTTGCTCCCTCCAACACCTACAGGGCTCTAGGTGGTCCCCACCAGCCAGCCCCTCACCCTTGGTCTCTTGCAGTGAGCACCTACTATGTGCTGCCACACAGTCAGCCACTGGGGCCAGTAGGATTTTTAACCTTGCTTTATAGATCTGGAAAGTGAAGCTCAGAGAGAGCAAGCCAGCTTCCCAGGGTCACACAGCAAACATGCCCATCCTAATAGATTACACTCGGACTCCACTGAGTCCTTACAGCTGCCCCATGTGGCAGATTCGGTTGTCACTCATGTGTGGATGGGGACACTGGGGATAGGGAGGGAGCACTTGCCCCAGGACCCAAGGCTAGCACAAAGTAGACTCATTTTATATTTGTCAAGTGCACGGTCAAGTGCTGCCTGCCCCAGCTACTTTTCCCCACGGCTTCATGTTTCCCCGACACAAAGGCAGCTTGTGCCTCCCCAGTCAGGCCTGGATGGGCTGGTGTCTGCCGACCCAGACATGCCAGGGGGACATCCATCTGTTCAGGAGCCTGAGACCCTCAAAGAAGCCAAACAAACAGGCTTCCTTGGTTCAAAGTCTGTCCCAGGCAAGAGCCAAGAGCCCCTCCACTCCTCTGCATAACCCCAGGACTCCCAAAACTGGGCAGCTACTAGCAGCTTCCCCAGGAGAGAAGGGACACAGTGTCTGTCACACACACGTGTCCACACGCTGATGCACGTGCACACCTGGCTAATAGGGTGAGCGCCTACCAGGATGGGAAGGGCCTGGGGACCCCCCCATCTGCCTCAGGGCACCCCCGCAGATGGTGCCTTTTCAAATGATGACCTGTACCCTCCAGAGTCTTAGGCTCTTATTTCTAGGCTCTTCTTCCACAACTGCATAGGGGTGGGTGTCACCCAGCTCTGTGCACTCTGGGTGGGGATTGGCTCACAGCTGGGTGAGGAAGAGTGAGAAATAGCTGTATTTCTGTACAGGGCACTGTCTGGGCTGGGCTGCTGGGAGAGATGCCTCTGGCCACCAGGTCTTTATACAGGCTGGTCCTGTAGCTTGGGACCCCCCTTCCCCTTAGGGCCACTGGCTAACTCTTGCTCTCTCCAGATATTTCAGCCTCACCCTGCCTGCTCCTCTGTTGGGGTCTTGTTCCTAAAGGCCCCCAGTCCCTCCTCCACCTACCTCATCCTGTAGCATGACCTGGGCACAGGAGTGCCAGCACTGGATCAGAATTCTCAGAGTGAAAAGGAAGCATGTCAAAAGCCAGGCGTGGTAGTGCCTGCCTGTAATCCCAGCACTTGGGAGACTAAAGCAGGAGGACTGTGAGTTCAAAGCCAGCCTGGGCTACCAAGCAAGACCCTGTCTCACAAAACAAACAACACCAACTAAAGAGTAAGTGCGTCAAGGCACAGTATGTCTGTGAGGCTAGAATAAGGACCTCAGGGCTCTGGTTCCCTGCTCCATGCCCAGGTCAGGAGCCAGAGGCTGGGCGAGGCCACCGCTGAGTTACCAAACACCTGGAGATTTGGCACGGCCCACTCCAAGAGGCCACACTGGGACCTCATTCATCTAGGTCCCTCTGTGCACTGCTTCCACCCGGGCCATGGACGCCTCCTTCCTCAGTGAGCCACCTGCAGGTCTCTGTCAAGTGTTCTGCTGGGATCCACCCTGATGGCAGTCCTGCGGCCCTGCAACATGGCCCTGGCTCTGCCTCTGGGGCCACATAGCCTCTACTCACCCCCTCCCTTCACCACCTCTCAGGACACCTGCCTCCACCCCAGTCTCGCAGCTCTCCCCAGTTTGCACTCCCCGGTTCTCAAATACTGTCTCCAGAGGCTGCTGGGGAATCTTCAAGTACTGTGCACGAAGGGAGACTGAGGCTTGGGAGTACTGTCCCAGACAAGGGGCAGTAGAACCAGGGCGACACGGCCCGGATGGGCTTCCCACAGCTGGTCTTGGAGGTCCCGCAATGACCATCCTGGCTGTGTCCCCGAAGTGTGAATTGCCAGGGATGCCTCCCAAGACCCAAGCAGCCAGAGACTGCGGCAGAGGGGACGAAGCCCGGCAGGACTCTAGCAGGGATGCAGGCCGCCTCCTCTACTGCCAGCAGCCTCTTCAAACCCAGGCCTTTGGCGCCCTCTGGTGGCCATGTGGCGGCCCAGCGCACAGCTGTGGACAGACACTGGGGGGGGGGCAGGCGGGCGGGGGCGGGGCTCTGCCTGGACCCAATTGCTGTTCAAGTCAGAACCAGACCCACCCTCGCCTACTTAGATCAACTGTACCAGTGGAGGGACCTTCTCTGGGCAGGACCCCTCCTAGTGTCTGGTCCCCAGCCTCCCAGGTGGGGTGGGGGAGGGGTTTTGACCTCGGATTCCACTGGGACAGATGTGATGACTCAGAGCTTTTCTGTCTGGGCTGACATTTGTTGTTAATGTCCTTCCTGATAGTCACAGGTCTTGCACACGTTCTACACTGAACATTCACAACGTGAATTACCTGCCCATCACTCCCAAGCGCCTCGTGAATGGGGTGCTGTGTTTATCCCCATACGGATGAGGAGGCAGAGGCTCTTCCAGGGAACTGCACCAGGCTGAAGCTGTGAGGCTCCGACCTGAGCCCAGCCGTGTGGCCGGAGCCTTAAGTCCTGAGCACTGGGCTCATTCCTGCATTCTCTGCTACCAAGGCCCTCACACAGAAGCCACACACATCCTGCCCAGACAGCCCGGTCTGCCCACCTCTCTGTCTGTTTCCCCAGAATCCTGTTATCCCTGACTGGGGTGACAGTGAGCACTAGGGCCCTGCGTGCGTGATAGAGAGAGAGACCCTCCCCAGTCTTTGCCTTCCACCATTTCAGCCCAGTGTGGTTTCCCAACATCTCTGGAAGGTGCCAGCCACCCTCACGCAGCCTGGGACTTTCCCATGGCACATAACTGTTTTCAGGATGCAGTCAAACTCTCAGAGTGACCTCCGTTGGCTCTGACCCTCTGGCTTTTCCCACAGCTGCTAAGACTGTTTTGTGCTCCCAGGTCTGCTGTTCAGGGCCTCATCTCCAGGCCTTTACATGGGCTGTCCCTTCTTCCTGGTACACTGTTCCCACACCCCAAGATTACCCACCTATGTTCATCCTCCCGAACTCAGCCCTCCCTCTGCCCCTGCCCCCTGCCCCACGGCTGCCTGGCAGACCCTCAGCTGCTTTCTTCCTTGCTAGAACAGAGGTTCCCTGAGGGCAGGCAATAGGTTCCAGGAGCTTAACGCATGCCCACACCTAGCAGGTGCCTGCTGTTTACGCAGTACTCAAGCAAATGACTGAAGACATGCCCAGTGCCATTCTGGTGCACGGCTGTTTGCAAGGCCACCTTCAAATCCGCTTTCCATACCAGTCTTAGCCGTGTGTGTCCCATACCTCCCCCATTACCACCTTGACCAGAGCCTGGGGTTGGTGAGGTAGTGAACGCCCTGTTGCTGAGGAGGCTGAGAGCCTGCAGGCTGTGCGGTTGTTCAGGAAGAGATCCTATACTATTGGAATGCTGTCAACTAACTTTGAGAGTCTATCAAAAAGTCACTGGACAGTTGGGATTTGAACTCAGGGCCTCATGCTTGCTGGGCAGGAGCTCTACCTCTTGAGCCACTCCACCAGTCCTTTTTTGTGGTGGGTTTTTTCAAGATAGGGTCTCTCGAACTATTTGCCAGGGCTGGCTGAGAAATCTGCAATCTTCCTGATCTCTGCCTCCTGAGAGTAGCTAGGATTACAGGCGTGAGCCATTTCCTGGCCTTTTTTTTTTTTTTTTTTTTTTTGTGACACTGGGCTTTGAACTCAGGGCTTTGTGCTTACAAGGCAGATGGTCTACCACTTGAGCCACGCCCTGAATATGACCTTATCTGAAGCTCGGGACATTACAGAGGTAATCAGGTTATAATGAGGTTGTTGGGGTGGGTCCTAGCCCAGGTAAGACTACCGTCCCTATAAAAGGGGAGGTTGTTTGGACAGAGACAGACACTCACAGAGGAGAATATGGAGACAGGGAAGTGGTGGCCATGTGCAGATTGAGGATGGCAGTGATACTACAAGCCAAGGAACAAGGGCCCCAGGCTACCAGGAGCAAGGATCGAGGCCCACGGTCCTTTCCCAGGCCCTCAGAGGGTGTGAGGCCCTGCACTTGACCTTGGATTTCTGGTCTCTAGAGCCACCACTCTGCCAATCCTTCCACTACGTCCCATGGTGACTTTAGCCAATACCTGTGTCTCCAAGCCTGCACTGAGTCTGACACGGCTCCCACCACGGGGGCCTGGGCCCAGGCAGACAGACCTCACGGCATGCAGTGTGCAGGGGTGGTTGTCACTGCTCATCTTACTGGAATCTTAACCAAACCAGGCTGCACACTGGGCGTCAAGTGGTCCTGGATGCCCAACCTCAGGCCACTGCAGTCACCCATCACTCTGGATATCTCTTTCCCTTGGCAGCCCCTCCCCAATCCACCCCTCGCCTCACCTTTCCCGTGGCACCATGAGACACATATTTGGCTCCTTCCCGCTGGGCGATCTCCACCTGTTTCCGGGCAATACAGGGCCTGGCAAGAGAAGTGCCCAGGAGGTATCGGTCCTCGTAGAGCGCACTGGACTGAACGGCGGGCCAGATGAATTCCTCTACAAACTCCCTGCTCATGTCCTCGATGAACACCTGTGGGGAGAGAGGCCATGAGAGGGAGTCCAGCAAGGATGGGGGCCAGTGCATTTACAAAGCTTGGGCGGTGTCAGGTGGCCCACAGCAATGGCCAGTACTGCAATGGCAAGCTGAACCCCGTTTCTCCTTCTGCAGAGGCAGAAGGCATCACTATTCGATTCCAGAAAATGTACAGTTACTCTCCCTCCCGCACTCATCACAGACATTGCTAATCGATCCCAAAACACCATCCAGCTGAAACTGACATGGTTCCTAAATCCTTCCCCCTAAGATGAAGCTCAGTTGCCGCCTAAGATCTAGAGCACTAGCTCTCAACCAGGGTGCTTTTATTCCCCAGGGGGAACTTGATAATGTCTGGGGAGTGTTTTGGTTGTCACAATTGTCAGGCTAGGGGAGGAGGGGAAGGTGTGTGACATCTAGTAGGTGAAGTCCACAGATATCGCTAAACATCCTAAAACGCACGGGACAGCCAGCCACAGGTAAACAGTGCCAAGGCTGAGACTCCAGTCACAAGCAACGGTTCTCAAAGTACAGAACGGCAGCTTGGGAAGCTGAGTGAAACACTGTGCATAGTGATACGAAGATGCCCTTTGCCCTTTTCACTGTGGCGACATGCATATGGATGGTACAGACGCAATGAGAATTGAATTCTAACGTTACATGCAAAAGTAAACACAGCAAATTGCAAAGAAATAAATAAATAAGAGCATGTGTGTTGGGTGTCTGGAGACCAAAAGGATTAAGAATTGCTTACCTAAAGCCTGGTGCAGATCAGGAGGATTTTGGTTTGAGCCCCCGCCACTTCCCCAGAAATAGTTCATGAGACCCTAGCTTGAAAAAACCCAACACAAAAAAGGGCTGGTGGAGTGGCTCAAGTGGTAGAGTGCCTGTCTAGTAAGTGTGAGGCCCTGAGTTCAAACCCCAGTGCTGCCAGAATAAATAAATAAATAAGTAAATAAATAAAATTTTAAAAAAGAAAAAATTGCTTATCTAGAGTAAGAGGCTCAAGCAAACCTTTACACAACACCCTACTCAGTCCCTGGCTGAAGTTCTCCCTCATCCTCAGCACTCAGAGCCCCCCTTCCCTCTTCCCAGGCCACTATTCAGACACTCCCCCGGACTTGGGGGACAGCAGACAGGAGGTATATTCTAACTCCAGGCCAAAAGGGGAAGTGGGGTCTGTGACAGTCACTCTCCATGCATTCATCCTGCTGGTTCTGGCCAGGCAGGTGGGCTGGTGCCTTTCATACCACCCCTGCTGTGTCCCCGCTCACTCTCCAAGTGAAGGGGTGCAAGGAGCAGGGTCTTCCCCATGGGGGACAATTTATACTGGCACTGTGAGCCACACTGGCTCTGACCACCAAACATGGGGCCTCTGTCTGGCACAGGATTAGCTACATAGCCAATGCACTGAACCCAAATGGAGTTTTCTGATTCTGTCGAATGGATGGAAGGATGCGTGTGGAGAGACAGAGAGAGAGATGAAAGAAGGGTGGACAGGTAGATGAATGATGGGTAGATGATGGACGGATGAGTGGATGGATGGATAGGAGGACAGAGACAGAAGGGGAAGGGACAGATAGATGAATAATGGATGGATGGATGAATGGATGGATGGATGGGTGGATGGATGGATGGATGGGTGGATGGATGGATGGATGGGTGGGTGGATGGATGGATGGATGGATGGGTGGGTGGATGGATGGGTGGATGGATGGGTGGGTGGATAGATGGGTGGATGGATGGATGGATGGGTGGATGGATGGATGGATGGGTGGGTGGATGGATGGGTGGGTGGATGGGTGGATGGGTGGATGGGTGGATGGATGGATGGATGGATGGATGGGTGGATGGATGGGTGGGTGGATGGATGGGTGGGTGGATGGATGGTGGATGGATGGATGTGGATGGATGGGTGGGTGGATGGATGGATGAATGGATGGGTGGATGGGTGGATGGGTGGATGGGTGGGTGAGTGGATGGATGGATGGATGGATGGATGGGTGGATGGGTGGATGGATGAATGGATGGATGGATGGATGGATGGATGACAGATGATAGGTGGAGGACAGATGCATGGCGTCTACACACACCAGAAAGCAAGATTTGATCTTGCACTCTTGGAGGCAAGAAGACAGTCTGGGAGGGATGCAAGGAGACAGGAACACCTGCTGCTGCCTTTCTATGTCACAAACCCTGCCTGATCATTTATACCTTTTTGGCTCCAAGCTTCAGCGCCTTCTTCCTGGCTTCCTCAAAGTCTTCCTTCTGGCCGATGTTGGCCTGAGGAATAGAAGCAGAGAGGCCAATGAGCCCAGGGGACAGAGGAGAAAGCAAGAGGACATCAGCCCCCTGGGTGAGCCTGGTCAAGCACCCACACCCACAAGCCCTCAAACAGAAGAGGTCCCATTTGACAGCAAGGTTGTGACGGGAAGGAACAGGCACAGGCCAGGTTTGGAGAGGCTGAGGGACTGCAGCAGCTTAGGCTTGGGACTGCATGACCGGGTGTACTGGGCAGTGGTTTCCCTGGGTTGAGGACAGGCACACAGGCTGCTGGGATGCAGCTGTCTGCTGTCATTACCTGCAAGTCTAAGAATTCCCTGGAGTCCTTGCAGCAGTCCCCGAGCCAGAGCAAAGGCTGCCCACAGGAACTGCCAGCCCTGCCCACTTCCCTGGACACAGGAAGTGCTCTGCCCATCTGGAACATCTGAGCAGACAGCAGGCAGCTGTCTAGACCCTGGTATGTTTTCTCCTGCTGGACTCTAGCCTGCTGCTCAGGTCCCCTGAACCCTGGCTTCTGCATTCCGTTCACCACTCTGCAATCTTCCTGGAGCACAGCTGCAGGTGCTTGCCCGAGGTCACAGTCAGCTGACAGGTGGTAGCCATGGAATATGAAGGGTCAGCACCTCCAGTCATGATTAATACATCAGAGGCTGTTGGCAACCCCTGAGCACTGTGCTGTTATTCACCAGGTGACAGTGAGCAAAGTGCCTTCCCATCTGGTCTTCGAGGGGACCAGGTGAGGTAGAAGGGGCACACTGACCACACACACACACCACTCCTGGCTGCAGCCAACTTCTGCCTGTCCTGCAATCCTGACTTCCTCTGGGAACAGATATTTTTTCCTGGGAGACCCCATCCCCAGGGATGGAGGAAGAAAATCATGCCTCCTGCTCACTGTGACCCCAGCCAAGCCCCCCAAGATGTAGCCAGAGTGTCTAATGCATGGCAGGCAGTGACTCAGTTCAATGAGTGTGCCCTTGGGCCCTGCTGTCATCTCTGGGGCAAGCCCTTCTTTTTTCAGAGAAAGCTAAGCTATGATGGGAACATCATGGCCATGTTGGCAGCTTTGCCTGTCCTGGGGAGAGGCCAAGAATGAAGCCCAGCAAAGGTGAAGACAGAGATCTGGGGAAGCGCCTGGATCCCACCATGCCTGAAGCTGTCATCCCTCTGGACTTCTTCCTCAGGTATGTAAGCCAAGAAATGCTATGGTGCAATTTTTTTGTTTTTTTTTCTTGTCTTCAGCTGGTTTTAAATTGGATTTCTAGAATTTGCAACCCAGAATCCTGAAGAGTTGTGTAGAGGATTCAGAGGCCACATCCAAGTTCATTACAAGTGGAGCTGGTTTGATTTGGGATGACGGCTAACGACCTTGGATGGGGGAGTAGAATCACACATAACCTCTCACCTATGACCTCTTTGCCATCCCAGGGCCAGGTGACCTAAGTGTCCTTCCAGCTCTGAATTCCTTGCTGAATTATTGCAGGCTGGCAGGGAACTCTGGGGAGGAGAGGACGCTGTGCAATGTCCACAGCCCCTCCCAGGCAGGCTGGCCCAGCAGCACAGCCAAAGTCACATCTTCAGCCTCCTACTAAGATGCAGCCTCTGCTGGACCTGGGAGGTATCAAGGATGCCTACTTGACAGATAAAGAAAGTGCAGTCCAGTGAGAAACCGGTTTAAGACAAGTGTAGAGGGGGAAGTTGGGCTTAACCAAGGGATGATGAGATGATTGGCAGACAGCTGGCACAGAGAGTGGCAGAGGGCTGGCTGGACAGGCAGTGGGACTCATGGGCAGACAAATAGACATGCTAGGCGCTCCTCACCAGGTAGGCAATGACGTCATAGCCTTGCTCCTTCAGCCACACGAGGATGCAGGAAGTGTCCAGGCCACCACTGTAGGCCAGAACCACAGAGCCCTTGCTGGACATGTCTGGAGGGAGTGAGGAAGAATGTAAGTGACCAGAGCTGGCCAGCTGCAAATAGCTATCCTTTCCCCACACAGGGAGGAGGGCAAGCCCAGCACGCCTCCACCCCTGGCCTTGGGCAGCCTTATCTACTAGATGAGCTGCCCCTGGGAAGTGAGGAACAGTGTGTTCATCTCTCAGAGCCCCTGACCCTGCACACTTTGCATACCTCCCACATCCCACGCTGGGGCCTGGGAATGCTGACAGCAGTTTGGGGCCAAGGGAGGGGTGGGGTGGGAAGTCCATGTCTTTTGGAGCAGGCATTGGAGGCTGAATCTGGACCAAGGCCATTGGCTAAAGGATGTGGGTGGGGCCTGGGCTCTGGCAGCTGACAGGTCCCTTGTTAGACCTGCTCAGTCCAAGCAAGACAGTGACAGGCTTCGTGTGTATCACTCTGAACCCTCACTGTGACCCTGCAAAACAGGTGCTGTCATCCCCACTGGGGAAGCAGACAGTGGGACTCAGAGAGTCAAGGTCAAGACCAAGGTCACAGAGCAGCTCAAGGTTACAGTGACTGACTCTGGAGCCCGGCCTCTTCAGCATGCAGTGTGGTCTCCCACTTAAAGATAGAACAAGAAGCAGACGGGACAGTGCACTTGGCCCCCAGGTGCCTCTCTTACCTGAAGCCCACTGAAGCTTCTTTTTTCTCCTTTGTTTGGCAGTACTGGGGTTTGAACTCAAGGCCTCACACTTGCAAGGCAGGCACTCTTACTGTTACTGCTTGAGCCAGTCTGCCAGTCTTTTTTTGTGATGGGTTTTTTTTTTTTTTTTTTTTGTCAAGATAGGGTCTCCCCTATTTGCCTGGGACTGGTTTCAAACTGCAATCCTCCTGATAGCTGCCTCCTGAGTAGCTAGGATTACAGGCGTGACCACCTGTGCCTGGCTTGAAGCTTCTGCCCTCACTGGAATTTTGACATCCCATCTGCTTTCAAATGCAAGTACCTCTGAACAGAGGACCCAAGGACCATGCTGAACACCTCTGCGAATCTGACTGCAGATGTTCAGTGGAGGGGGGCTCCAAGACTAGCTTCCCCATGTTCAAATGGAGAAACTAAGGTTCAGAGAGGAAAGATGGTAGAAGGCAGAAACCCTCTGCCTCCTTCCTAGGAGCCACAGATGATAGGCGTGTCTCTCTGCAATGGGGACAGATGTTCGCCTCCTACCCTACCCCACTCCTCCACTACACAGAAGCTTCCAGAGGCTCCGCCTAAGCCCTTGAGCTGCCTTACTGCTGGCCCTGCAGGCAGATGGTTACTGTGCCCACACTCCCAAGGAGGAAACTGAGGTCAGAGAGCAAGGGTCACCTGCTCAAGGTATTGAGTCAGCATGCAGCAGGGCCAGGTTTGGACTCAGGCCCAGTGTCTTACAGGGGCTGGGTGTGGGTCTTGGTTACAGCATTTCCACCGGAGTCTGACCAAGGGCAAGGTCAGTTGGGGTCCTCATTAGACACTGCTGGAGAGGTCAGGGTCGCCTCTCCACAGTCCCATGGGAGCCCGGCAGGCTCACCACCCTGCCATCGCTACCAGTGATCCAACTCTGTGTGCCAAACACTCTCTGAGCCTGGAGTGCAGAGTCGAATGACTTCCCCAGGCTGTCCAATCCCATGTGGCAGACCTAGACATACCAGCAAGTGGACTTTGGAGCCTGAGCACGTGAATGTGCAGTCCAGGCACATCCTGCGGGTCAGCGGGATCCCCAGGTCTCTCGGGCCCTGCTGCCCTTTGGACTCAGAGAGGAAACAGCATGGTTGGGGCAGGGGCTGGTTCTGATCACTCCCCACGACTCTGCTCTCCACTGGGCATCAACCACCTGCCAGGCCCTGTCCTCCCAGCTGGCCCAGCAGACAGTGCCCAGGGCAACAGCAGGCAGGCAACTGGCCATGGAAGATGGAGAGAGAGAGGGGCAGAAAGGACAGAAGCAGGAGGTACCTGGGATTGGAAGTGTGGGTTCCCAGTGTCCAGAGTCTGTCTTCACTTCACGGCTGGGTGAACCACTCTACAAAAGCAAAGGTGCTCAGGACTTAGCATGGCCGGCCGGGGTGGTGTGAGGCCCCTCAGGCCGCCCAATCCCGTGATCTGAGCTGAGCAAAGAGTCATACGGCCCAGGGGCCTCAGAGTCATCTGTCGAGCCTCCAGTCCAGGAGGCGCTCAGGGATGTGCGTGCTCTCACTGTGCTTGTGTGTGATGCTGCAGGAGGTGTGCTTGGGTGAGCCATGTGGGTGAGTTGCACGTTATTAAAACAGCTCTATTGAGGTGCAATCGCTATATAGTAAGGGCATACATTTATTTTATTATTACTGGTGCTGGGGACAGAACCCAGGGCCTTGTGCAAGCTAAGCACATGCTCTACCACTGAACTGCACCCCCAGCCCCTTACTGTGTATATTTAAAGGGTCCAGTTAGGCAAGATTTGACGTGTGTAACTCATGAAGCCATCACTCTGATCCAGACGATAAGCACATTCCCCTTCCATTTGGGGTTATCCCCATTTTTCGTGGGGGGAGTACCAGGGTTTAAACTCAGGCTCCCTTATTGCTAGGCAGGTGCTCTATGACTTAAGCCACGCCTCCAGCCCTCTTATGCTTTAGTTACTTTTCAGATAGGGTCTTGCACTTTTTGTGCAGGCAGGCTCAGACCTCAATCCTCCTACCTATGCCTCCTATGTAGCTGGGATTATAGATGTGCACCCCCACACGTGGCTTATAGAGATGGGGGTTTGCGAATTTTTGCCTCAGCTGACCTCCAGCCATTATGCTATCAATCTCCACCTCTCAAGTAGTGGGTATTACAGGCATAAGCCACAGTGCCTGGCCTGCAGTTACCCCATTTTAGAGACAGGGAAACTGAGGCCTGGGTTAAGGAACTTGCCAATGTGCCTTGCTTGGTTATAAGTGGCAGAGCTAGGCCTTAAACCCACAACAGCTGGGCTCATGGGGACAAGGCCAGCCCTCTATGGAAAGCCTAGGAAGGGAAGTGCTGGGCAGGGCATGGTTAGGGAGCCTCAGTACTCAGACATCCCGAGTGGCAGAGGAACTTAATGTTGCCCCAGATTCCCCAGCTCATAGAGACACTCTGCTTCTGCCCCCTCCCAAAGGCACCTGAGACCAAGAGGGGGACACAGGAGTAGGCAGAGGGGCAGCTCCATGGACTAAGACCAACCACCTGCACCTGCTCCTGTGTTGCCTAGTGGTTCCAATGGGCCTCTTAGTCCCTGGCACCCTACGAGCTCTGTGGGACAGGGACCATCTCTAAGATGCACATGGTGGCCACTCAGCACTACAAGTTCTACTGTAAAGGTTGTGAAAGAAGTTACAAAAAAAGCGAGGGTTGAGATCCCCTTAAAGTGTGTGATTCTGTGCAAGCTCTCACCCAGAAATCAGGGAGCCCCTCCTGTCTGGCAGGCTGCATGAGTGTGTGCTCTGAGGCCCTTGGCTTGGCTGAGTGTTGTAAAGGAATGTGTGCACCCAGGAGTGTGTATCTGCAATGTGTGTACCTATGTGCGCCAAGGGTTGTGTACCTGAGAGTGCATGTGTGTGTGTGCACACGGAGATTAGTTGAGCAGGTAGACTGGGGAGACACCACCAGGCTCGCTCCTGCCCCAGCCCTTGGTGAAGCACCCACCATGGCCACCAAGGTTTCTGGGCTGCATGAGGAGGATGCAGCCTGAGGCAAAGACTAAAGGAGGCTGAGGCCTTTGTTTGGAGAGGGGGAGAAGGGAGAAGCTACTTTAACACTCAGCGCAGTGTCCCAGTGAGCTCAGTCTCCCTGCAGGAGTTCTCTGGCTAAGTCCTCCAGACCTGGTTCAGAGTTGCTGAGGCACTCTACATAGGGCTACTCATTTGCAAAACAGGAGTTAGAGTGGTCTGTCCCCCACACTTCGACTGGAAAGATTCAGAAGGATGGTGGGGAAGGCATTCAAGTGCCAGGCAACAACCACCGTCACAGTGGACCTCGGCACGTCCCTGGCTCTCTAGGCCTGTTTCTTCATCTGCACCATCTAAAGGCTCGTTTTAGGAGTCATTGGGTGTTTTGGGGACACCCCAGGACACTGAAATTCTTTCCCAGGGGAGGCACCTGTCAGATGCTGGCTGAACTCAGGCCCCAACCTCCCAGGAAGGTCAGGTTTTTCCAGCTCCCGGGCACACGCCCCCAGCACCCCAGCTCCCAAGGCCAGTGCAGACACCCGGGAAGAGGGATTAAGTGACCTTATGTCAAGCTGCCTGCCAACTTGGCTTTGGTTGGCAAGATGGGAGGGGCAAACTCTGGGACCCTACCCAGAAAAATCTGGCTAGTACCCAGGGAATATGTGCCAGACCAGGGCACCTGGGCACTCCTTAGCACCCAGGAAAACTTGTGAGGTTCTAAAATGTCAGAGTTGGAATGACAACAGCAGAGGCTATGTTCAGAGTCACATGCATGTCATTTCTAGGTACAGAGCACCACTGACACCTATTCATAGACCAGGAGCCAGAGGAGTGACTTGCCCAGGTCACAGGCTGGTTGCAGACTGCCCTATGTTCCCTGGTACCTAGGAGGTCCTGGACCCTTTCCCCTTCTTCCACACAGCAGATGCCCAGACGACTCATCACCAGTGGAACTTCTGTTTGTCTGTATGCCCTGCACCCCACAGCTCAGGACTGCAGCTACATAGGCTATTCCTCTAAACCCTCCCAGCCACATTCTACCTCAGCCCAGCCTGGTTTGTTACAACTTAAAAAAAGAATCCTAACTCCAACAGGGCCAGAATCTTCTCCCTTACTTTGGGGTTTCATTCTAGTACTTCAGTTCTTATACTGCTGCCCTTTTGTATCTGATAGAGCTAGGCTGCAATTTTGAGGTTGACCAGAAGGAGGCAAACCGTCTTTCTACAAGATCCAGCCTCAGCTTTCACTTAACAGAACTGGTTAGAAACCAAACTTCATACCTTGGGACATGAAAATGCTCCAAAGTGGCAGGTAGGGAGAATAAGCGGGCCTTACCACACCATGGCGAGAAAAAGCACACTGATTCCACGGTTCCTTTACTGTTATCAAAGTGCCCGTTGGTGACTACTCCAAGTCTGGGGGAGGGAGGAAGCCAGTGCTTTGCCCAAAGCATTACAGCAAAAAACAGAGCCTTAGACCCTGAATTCCAGAGAGGTGCCTCTTTCTACATGGGTGCCCAAGGGCAAGCTTCTCACTTCTGGGGCTGTGTATTCAGTGCACAGTGAAGACATCTGGCTGGCCTGGCTGGCCTCCCAGAGACCCAGGGCGAAGATGAGATAGGCCAGGCAGAAAATGCTGGCACAGCAGGAGGGTCTGAGCCTGGTTCCACCCAAGGCTCCTGGGGGGGCGCCTGGCTTCACAAGCCCACAGCTGGTGGTCAGTGCTGAGACTGTGGGTTTCCCCTTCTCTCCCACCCCAGGCCTGGCCTTTGGGACTGGAATGTGGAGGGAGAGGCAGTGTGAGTTTGAAGGGAGAGTCCAGTTGTTCTTTTTTGTGCCTTTTGTGGTTGTTTCTGACTGTGCTATCTCCCTGCCTCATCAGATCTACCCCAGGAGATCCAGGACCCTGCCCTTCCAGGTCTGCACTCCCAGACACACAGAGCATGTGAAGGGATCCAGGCTTTCAACCCTTAGGACGTGTTCTGAGCCCCAGCTGGAGCCAGAGCTGCTCCAACACACAAAAGGAGACACTGGAGCTGGAGCAGGCCTGGAACTGGGGCAGGCCTGGTGGTGTAGCTGCCAGGAGAGATCAAAGCCAGGGCTCTCTTGGTCTATCCCTGGGAAAAGATCAGGTCTGCTCCTGCCCAGACACCTGCAGCCAGGCAGTGCTTCCCATTTCACAGGGGGAACACTGAGGGCGCCACTGGTCCTCCAAGGGATGAGCTCTGGCAACCCAAGAGGGTTTTCCTCCTTTTCATAATGTCCCTGCCTCCCGAGAGGGCGCAGCCGCCAGGGAGCCAAAGGCAATAACAACCCGGAGGACGGACATTTCCTGCAGAGCGGCCCCTCCTACAGGGCCAGCCGGACCCAGCAGGAAACCCTCTAGGAGGAGCCCCACCTAGACAGAGCCCGGCGACTGCCGCTCCCTGCCGGGAAGGGCGCTGAGATCACACTCAAGCCAGGTGTCCATTTGCCCTGGGTAAACTGAGGCTCGGAGGAAGGCGATACGTCCAAGCCCCATAAGGCAAGGGGTTGAGGTAGGGCTGGAGCTTTGGTTTCACGCGGAGGAACAGAGTGAGGAAGACAAAAACTGTGTCGGGTCTAGGGCGTGGGAACCAGGATCCCCCACACGCTCTGGACCCCCGAGGCATCCTTTTGGGGATTTCCCCGCACAGAGGAAGCTGGATTGGAGAAGGAAAATCCAGAAAGGACCTCTGCTCCCACTGCGGACAAATAACTCGACCTGCCCACCCCCCCACACCTCCCCACCCGATACTTGTGCTTCCACCGCGTCTGTCCCCCAGGTCGGAGGAACCAGGATGTGGGCGCCAGACGTGTGCGCAACAAGAGCCCCAGCGTCCACCTCCTTCCCTCCGCTAGCCCGAGCCCCGGGTGCACGGAGAGTGGGGATCCGCCCTCTGCCCACCCCCTCGGCTGCTCGGGCTGGAATCCGGGGAGGGGGTGACCTAGGCTAGGGCGTGGGAATCGAGAGGGGCCGGGGGCTCCTTACCCAAGCTCAGGCGGCGGTGGCAGGCGACGGAGCAGGGCCAGGTGAAGCACGCACCCCACTTATAAGCACAGGGCTAGCGGCAGGGCGGGGGACCTGGGACACGTGGGGACACGCGCGCGACAGGCCCCGCCCCGGGCCGGGCCCCCGCCGGGAGCCTCTCAGAGTTCAACGCCACCTGCGGTGGGCGGGGCCCGGCCTCTTCTTCCCTTCTTGCCCCGCCCCCTCCCCTCCCCCACCCCCACGCAGTCCCAGACGCGTGTCCCGCGCGCGCACAGGCGTGGGCGCTCGCGGCGCGGGGCTCCTGGCCTTGGCCAGCGGGCTGGTGGCGCCTCCGAGGGCGGAGTGGCTGGAACCCGCGTAACTGGCAGGGTGACCGCAGCGGTCTGCGAGACTTGCCGCGGGAGGTTGGAAGGGGTTCAGAGGCTCCCAGTGGGGTGCAAGTTGCTTAGGCTCAGAGAGCTTCTCGCCAGCTTTTATCCGGTGCCCGGCGTCCTGCGAGTTTCTGGGTTTTCAGAGCCCCTCGCTCCCCTCCAACCCCCCCAGTTACCCCACCCCAGCCAAGCCCATGGTCCGGAGGAGAAAACGGGTGGAGCTCGTCCTCAAAGGCCAGACTTGCATCCCTCAGTCCTGGCTGTCTCCCTAGAGCCTGGCACCTTCCAGAATCCCCCAGGGCACCCAGTAAATAGTGAATGAAAGACTGGCCGGCTGATGACCCACTGGATGGCAGGGAAGACTGAGGTTCACAGAGGTGACGTCTCCAGCTTATAAAGTGAAGCTGGGAGCTGTGCCCGCGTCCGTCCCTCAGACTTGACATCAGAGGCTTCCCATCTGATCTGCAGCCCCAGAGCCGCGCGCGCTGCCGTCACAGCGCCGTGAACCAGCAAGGCCATGCTCCACCGAGGCTGCCCCATCCTCAGCCAGTTCTGCACCTGGGTAGGTGGCAGCTCCACGCCTTGCCCAGCTGCCTCCCCAGGTCACCATGCCCTCTTGGTCCTGTTGCCAGCCTGTGCCCACTCCACCGCCTCAAGGCATGGCAGGAACAGTAGCTGTGGTCCTTCTAGGAGGAAAGAGGTGTCCCACCAATTTACAAAAAGCCTCAGCTTCAAGACCCTCCTGAGTCCACCAACCCCGACACCCAGCTCCGGCCCGTGAGCCACATGTGGGTGCCAGGCTGATTTGAGGTACCCTCCTGCCTGGAGGCTGAATGACAGCTGCCCCTGAGGTCTGCTCACCCAACCAGCTCTGCGCCCCATAGATCCTTTGGGGCTTCCACACAAGCAGAAAGCAGGTGCGGAGCAGCTCAGAAGAGGACACCAGCCCCTGGTGTGTGGCCTCAGGCAGTCTTTCCCCATTGCAGCCTCAGTTTCTCCTCTGTGGAGCCAGCCCAGGCAGGGCAAGTATTTGCATTGGCTTCCTACATCTCCATCCTCATACCCTGTATGAAGTAGCTGGGATTTTATCCTCATTGTACTGACAGGAACTGCAGCACAGAGAGGGATGTGCATCTTTTCCAAGGCTACCCAGCATATAAGGGGCTAGCAGAACTGGAAGCTTTGGCCCACACCCTCTGCTCTGGTTCAGGTTTGAACTGAATTGGTGGAGGAGCTGAGGTCCCAGTCTCAGCAGCAGAAATGACTCCAGCCCAGAAGATGGTCCCTTTTTTTTTTTTTTT